AGTGATACCCCCTAGAGTCTCAATGAAGTGAGAAAATAGTGGTGCTTTGGTTTCAATATCGAGCAATCGCAGCTGACGGGAAGTTCGTAGATAAAACGTCTGAATAAGGAAGATGAGGGCTGCACAAACGGGAATGGAAGCAGAAATGTATCCAGAGCCAGTGAACACCAGTACGGCCGAGGTGATGACGCCAAGGAAATTCATAACGGTCTCGTCAAGAGATTGCGGAAGATCGCTGTCAATCAGCTGTAAGTCTTGACTGAACCTGTTTGTAGTTAATCCAGCGTTGGTCGATGTGAGAAATGACGTTGTTGCGCTAGAAGATCATCAGTACCTGCCATCGAACGGAGGATAGCCCTCTCCAACCGAAAAAAAAGGTATCAGTACTTACTGCATGGTTGTATCAAGCAAAAGCTGGTGAAATTTCCGTGACGTTTTCGGAACCAGCATCATACGGAAAGCCCTAAAAGGCAATTAGTTGAGCTATTTCGCCGTGCCTTGTGATACAGCCAACGTACCAGTCAGATCCCATGCAACCTACAACCGCCAAAGCGGCGAGGCCAAAATATATACCCAGCCAGTATCCAATGTTCTCATTTGGATGCTTTGCATTGTAGTCGGTCCACCATTGCAGCCATATTGCTAAAGGAAAAACAGAGTTAATAGGTTGACAAAAGGACGGACTCGAGAACACCTACAGGGGAAGCTGAGCCCAAAGGTGTAAGCCGCGCAGATGAATATATAAATGGAAAACGTCCATGTACCAGCAACTTTGATGTAATACGCATAAACCTGGAAGTCGCTTGTTTTGCGTGCAGACCCCAGCTCGTCTTCCTCATTGGAGAGACCAAGTTCCTGGTAGATTTCTTCCGGCAACTCCAGCAACTCCTGCCGCGACGTCTCAACGGCTGGCAGACTTGCAAGTCGCTGCACATAGCCGCCAGACGCGGAAACTTGCTCAAGAGTACCTTGCTCAGCGATGCTACCTTCCTTGTTGAGGACCACGATGTGGTCGGCAAAACGAAGATGACCAACTGAATAGTACTTAGTAAGTAGACATGGCGTCGTGGCCTCAGATGGATTACGGTACCTGAATTTGTGGCAAGAACGACAGTTGATTTGGTCTTCTTGAGAACACCACCAGCACCAAAGACAGCCTCCAGAACGCTGGCTTCGGTCTGCCGATCAAGTCCTGTGAGGACATCATCCAAGATGATAAGTGGGTTCCTGGAGTATAAAGCACGAGCCAATGACTACCTCTAGTTAGCGCCTGAGTTCTACCACTTCCGAAACAAGACATCACGAATTCTGCTCACCAAACGCATTTGCTGGCCGCCACTTAGACGCGAGCCTCGCGTACCAGTTCTTGTTTGGTCTCCGTCCGGCAAGTCTTTAAAGTCAGTATCTAGCGAACACGCGCGAATAACGGTATTATACCACTCTGTGTCCCAAGCAGACATTCCTAAAATGTTGCTTTGCACCGTGCCCCAGGTTATCCAAGGCGACTGGGGAGCGAATGCACATTTAGAATAGTCAGAGATAACAGAACCAGAGACTTCGGGCAGTTCGCCCAGGATTAGCCGTAGCAATGTTGATTTACCAGAACCAACAGGCCCAACAATCATGGTTATCTTGCCGCGAGCGATTTCGAGATTTATGTCCTTAACAACCATTGTTTCGGAATATCCTGCTGCGGCATCCTTCAAGCTAACAGCACTAGCGCCAGCACTGAAAGTAGAAGTATCGAGGCTTTCAGACCCCCTCAGGATACCATTTCCAGGCACATTTGTGTCGGACTTTTGCGGTAGGTTTTCATCGGATGACGTGCCAGACTTTTGAACAGGAATGACTCTGAAGTCTTCTCTCTCAGCGGACAGGATATAGGTTTGCACACGATAAAACGCATTGATGATAGTTTGAAAGTCCTCGAAGCCATGCAGCAGGGACATGACAGGCCTGTCTTGCAATTGGAACAGACTCAAAACTGCAAAAGCAACACCTTCCGTCAAGGTCTCTGTATTATTGACTTTTGCCAAGATGGTAAAGGTCCCAAGACCTAAGACGGGAGCAAAAGTAAATGTGCAGTTTGCTGTCAACACTCGAGTTAGATAGTGCTAAAAAGAGGAGGCGCTCCGGGCGGAGTGTGGGAGCGACGAGACTCACCAGCGCCAGTCTGTAACACGGACAAGAGACGAAAAGCGCGTGAGGACCGGATTTCTTTGATTCTGAGATTCGACACAATTGCGTGAATGGTTTTTGTCAAGCCAGCCATCCTAATCGCCTTCATTGTTCCCAACATCTTGGATGTTACAGCCAACCTTTTTTCAATTGCCTCAAGCCATGGTACTTGAGCGTTTCCGGCTGCAGAGGCAATAGGAATGCCAATAGAAAGACACACTTGGGGGATGTTAGCGTTTTGCAACTACGACAATCTAATATCTTGAACCGGGCTATACTTGCAAATAATGAAGCCGGTTGGGGGGAATACGGCGATGCCGAGGAGCCTGTAGAGAAGCCATAGGGACAGGGCAAGCTCCACAAGACTGGCATATGAATCATGCAGAACTGGCATGCAGAGACCAATACGGTCAACATCAGCGCTCATTAATGTTATCGCTTCGGCATCGTGAACAGCACTGGCGCTGAGGCGAAGAGTTTTGCCGAAAATAATGGTGATTAAACTGCCGCGGAACATTGTTAAGACACGATATGTCATATGCTCGTACAAGGCCAGCGACAACTACAGAAGATGCAATTAGACTATGAGCGGCGATACAAATGGATAGGAACTACATCGTACTGCTTTACCAATGTGAACAAGTGCATATGCTCCAATTAGACCGTAGCCGAAATTTCTCGTATTGGGACCATCCGGTTCCACGGTGAAATCTAGTACTCTCTTGACTAAAAAAGGTTCAGCAAAAGTGAACCCTACATAGGCCAGCCTCGGCAAGACACCAGCCAACAGATCCCACTTATAGTGCCGAATAAAGACCCAAAGCAAAGCGGTTTTGCTAGATTTGTCAGCTGCGAGGTGTGTGGATGTCAGTGAAAGACGGACTTGACAGTGGAATGGGGCGTCTAGAAGAACTACCTTTTCCCCATCTTTCCTCCAGCTTAGTAGGTCGAGAGGCATCAAGAATATCTTGGTCGAGCGGCGTCAAAGTGTCCACAGTCAGAAGCGTTTTATATCCCTTGAGGAACAAACTATTTAGCCAGACGAATAGTACTCTACTGTAAAACGAGGCCGTAGCTTCTGGTGATGTGTTTCTCCATTGCAGCATAAGCAGCCTTCGCTTTTCAGTTGTTTCCAAGGCCAAAAGCACCAACTTGAAAAAGTAGCTGGCGAGGTGAATGGGCGCCACGATATGGTAGCCCGGAATGAAGAAGACGGTACGCGCACAAGCCATGTCCAACAAGCAAGATATGCCGAGGTAGATACACAGTATAGTCGATGGCCGAACAGATCGGACGTGCTCTAGGTACGACACGTAAACAAACCAGATAAAACTGGCGATGATGATGGCTCTTAGTGGTATGGTGAGCCTAGTCGTAGGCGTATTCGGCTGTGTCCAGAGAGCAAGCATAGCAACCTGGAGGGCGATGTAGACAGAGAATGTCACCTAGGACATCATCATATTTGTTAACTATCTAGTAGGTCTGGGCGATACGAAAGAAGGGGTCGAAGTATCAATTACAAGTTTTAGCGTAAAAAGCCATGATCTATTGACTTTGGGAGCAGTATTCCAAAGAATTACGGCGCGGGGGACGAGGATCAGAACTAGAAGTTTGACTTAGCAAGCGTGAACACCGAGAAAAGAGGCCATCATTTCTCTTACCCGTAAGCAGAAGAGGCAAAAGAGTGAGGATGCTCTCTTCGAATAGCAGCGTGAAGTCGAAGCCATTGAGACAAGCGTATGCCACTGTGGGGCCAAACACGTTGTGAACATCAATCGAGCACGAGCTATCGGCTATGCTGGCGAGTTTGCTGGTGGTGGGCACAGCATTTCCCCTTGGTGATGCCATTTTGTGAATCGACGAGCCCGTGATTTGGCTCTAGAGTGGTGGCGAGGCCAATTGCGATTTTGGTACGCGGTAATCATGGGGGAAAGGGCATGAAGGTGGCAAGTGTCAAGTCCAAAGACACCGCGTCAACATGATGGAATTGTGATGATGGAAATTGTCGCGCATCATCTGCAGACGTAAAATTTTGGGGGATCACCCCAACCGCCTTTGTTGAGCTTACCCCGCGGGGTGAACAGAGCAGGGACCCCACCAACTTCCCACTCTTCAATCTGATCTTGACCAGCTTTCCCCTTTAGGGGCCTTGTGCTCCACCATCGTATTTACCACGATACATTGACAGAGAGCCAAGACATTTATTAGTAAGAGCAGCTGTTGTACAATTCAAAGATTCGCATGGTGACGAAATATCGGCGAACACGACAGCGGGTGAAGCGTGATGACGACCGGTATGCGCTGTGGGACTCGGCATTGGACAACATTGAAGCAAGACTTGCAGATTTGGTAGCCAGGGTGCCCAAGTGCCCAGGTATGAGTACTAGCTGGCCCGAAACTGTCTTGGACTCTTGGATCACAGCATATTGATCATCGCCTCAGCTCGCAACTAGACGCCACATGCGCCACCCGAGCGGCAGAAAAAGACGAGTTCGGAGCCACGGCTGCCGTGACGGACCAATAGGGAAGAATCCAGTCTGGTCCAGAGCAGACTGGGCCAGGTACGGAGCACGGAGTAAAGAGAACAATGGTCAACGGTGTACGGAGTACTTGACTCCGTAACTCACAAATTGCAATTTACCAAGGCCTTCCCAAATTGCAGCACACCGCATGCTCTGAGCTGTCTATCACCAGTCACTTTTGTTGCCCGCTGTGATGGCTAATGGCATGCGGAACACTTTATTGGATAGATCGTTTTCTCATTCATTTGCTACACTCTGGTGGTCTGTCTTGTTCGTCGAGCAAAGCCTGCAGACTCGCCATCACGGCGCACCTTGCGTGCCATTGCCACGCTCCCGCTCCCACTCCGCCAGTTGCCTAAAACCGAGGTCACATCGCTGCCCCCGCGGCATGGCGTTTTGCGTCCCAAGCTGCTCCATACTCCTCTCCGTCGTTGGCGACTGAGGATCGTCCCAAAGTCGGAATTCCGTCACAATGCCCGCAATCAAGAGCTTGATCTCCGCCACGGCGAACGCCTTGCCCAGGCACAGACGCGCGCCGTAGCCAAACGGCATGTAGCACGACTCCATAGCCCGCAGGGTTGCTTCGTCCGCCTCCAGCCAGCGGTCAGGCCTGTACATGTGGGCGTCTGGGAACACGTCTGGCCTGTGGTGTATCGACAGCGTTGACGTTGACACAATGGTCTGCATTCACGGGTCAATTGTTAGCGCAAGCAACCGCCGTCTATAGAAAGAAACGAAAAAAACTCTGCAGGGGATAGAAAGTGCTCCAAAAGAATTCACTCACCCCAGCTGGGAGCACCACCCCATTGTATGCCTTGGTAACGGGCACTACCCTCTCGGCCCTTCCGCTCGACAGAGGACACAGTCGGCTGGATTCTCGAAAGCAAGCGTCCAGGATTGGGGCGGCCATGACGTCGTCGAAGTTGGGCAAACCATCTTCTTTGACTGGCAGCGCAAGAAGCTCTGCTCGAATACGGTCCTGCCATTCAGGGTGGCGGGCCAGGTTCCAAAGCGTATACGTGAGCGAGAGAGCAACCGTAGTTTGCGCGGCATGGATATTGTCCAGCATTTCGGCGGCAATCCATGATGTGGGAAACGCCTCACCGTCGGGCGTCTTCATGTTGCTCAGCTGGTGCAGCAGAGAGCCGGCAACCATCTTGTCCGGATTCCGCCTGGCAGACTCAATTTTGTCCATGTTCCAGTCGGTCAATCGCTCCTCGGCCGACAGAAAAGCCGGGTCTTTTCTGGCATAGGAGACGACGGCCCTAATCATCTTGTGAACCAGCGGAAAGTTGTAGGAGAGATTGTTCCAGACCTCGACCTCCTTCCAGCCCTTCAGTATCGCGCGCTCCTCGCACTCGGCATCCCCTATTGTGCGGGCGCAGAGTTCGGGGCCGTACACCAGGTTCGTGATGTTGTCGAACGAGTAGAAATTGCAGTAGAGCAGGACGTCGACCGTCGGCTGTACCGCAATGTCTCTCTTCAGCTGGTCGACAAACCTCCTGACATTGGTCCACAGGGGCTGCAGGCTGGCCGGCTTGTAAATTGAGGTCGGCTGGTAAAAGGTAAACGTTCGCTTGAGCATTTGGCGGTGGTCTCTCACATCCAGTGTGCAGAAGATTGGTCGTTCGCCGTACATGAGGAAGTTGTCAAAGTATTTACTCTTGGGATGTCGCCCGGTAGAGCCGTATATCTCCCTCGTCAGCGCCGCATTGGAAAACGACACTTCTCCTGGCGCAACCATCACAACGTCGCCATATTCGCGATGCCACTCGTAAATCTTTTCAATGCGGCGCAGCCACATGTCATGGTAGACGGCCCAGTACCGTGTGATTTTGCAAAGCCTTGGCCCTGGGACGTTTCTGTATGGCGACAAGAACAGGGCGTAAATAACTTTACCGGCTGCGAGGCTTAGAACGAAGAGAGGGAAGAAGCCTAAAAGGGCGTAGAGGGCCATGCTGAATATGTTTCCACCGTCTTGAAGTTTCAATTATGGTATTAGCTTGCAGTAGGGTAGATTAGCGTGAATTGAAACTCCGCGGCAAGAGGCAAGAAGCGTCGTAGACTTGGGGGCAAAGGTGGGCTCTGTAAAAGGCGACTACAAGAAACCAGGTATGGAATTAATTCCGTAAAATTTGCTCACATTGTTTTAATAAAGGTGATTGCTGGGGTAAACGGAATTGCATCATGCCTCGTCGTGCTAGTCACTACGCTCCGACTAAACAATGCTCTTATGATACGGAGTAATTCGGACCAGGAACCATACAAGCCTACAGATACGGAGTACCGATCTCTATGACTTGGTGAGCAAGACATGGTTGATTAACGGCCGGTTGAGGAACATCGGTTGCGAATTTCCGCTTTTCTTAGACAACAAATTTGTAAGACGGCACTCTGTTCCGGTTCAAGGAGGGTGTCTTTTTTTTTATTGCCTTTACACTCTTTTTGAAACCGGCGTGCGTGTATTGTGAACAGGTTTGTCGCTATTCTCTGCATCCCGGAAAGCGCCTTCCTCATGCCATAGTAATGCTATAGCCGGCATCAGTATCTCATGATGCCCCCGGCCCGCAGCAACATAAAGGGGGGGAGTGTGCATGGAAGGTATACGCGGGGGTACGAAGTCGGGATCTATTTCCTTTTCTAGGCGGCGGCAGCAAGTCCCGATAGCGACTATCCTGATTTTGACTACATACAGCTCTCGTCCTCACTCTGATCCTCACCGAATCCTTGATTTAAGAAAAAAAAGCACGCAGTGATCCGTAAGCAAATACTACGTCAAATCATGCTTGCGTTAGCTCGTTGTTTAAAGTCAGTTAACACGGGCAGGCAAATGGAACGAGAAACAAACCCAGGGTAGTTAGCGTGAAGCTTGAAGGGGAAAAGCTCACATATGTGGAACCAGGCCGTACGCCGTTGCTGTCACACGTGATAAAAGATGAAGGGGTGCGCTCAGACCCAATATTTATGCAATAATTGGTATGTAGATCCTTCTCCGGGGGCCCGGGCCAGGGGCAGAAGGACTGAAACGTCCAATTGATAGAATGATGCAAGGACCCCACGCGCGTTAAAAGCGGTCCAAGGCGTCGGGCCGCCTCAGCCGCTCGGCCGCGGCGTGGATCCGGAGGCGTGTCTATTGGCGGCTGACAACGTTATGCATGGCCAAATATTGCGATAGCTCTTCTGCAGAACGGCAATTGTACGGAGTACACGATCGTCATCGATTTTACCTCTTGATCCGTACCATACAGTTGCGTTTTACGACGGAATACGTAATAATGACTTAGCACACGATAATTACACGCCCAACTACCCTGCCCGGGACGACAGAGGATCTTGTTTGCGTGTGACAAATGTCGTGTACTCCGTACGGAGTAAGTGTTTGCTACAGTCATCATTACGGCACTACTGTTGCCGGTCTGAAATGGCTTGGAATGAGCTCTAGGGTGTAATTGGGTGTGTAACCTTAAATCATCGACCTGATGGACAGTCACGGATTATAAGCCGTAGGGGAATTGAAAACTTGCCAGCTTCACGTCTCCCACCACTGCCTGTATTGCAACAATTTTTGCGGCCGGTGGTTTTGTTTCGAGACACAGAAGCTTCTTGAGAAACAAACGAAACGTGCAGAAAACATTTCATTGCGTGTTAAACTACACGCGGTGAGTCTGACAACGATCCCGCTAGATACCGTACAAACAGCGAAAGTGCAATCACGGTCATCGAAAAAATGTCCGCAATTGCACAAGATGAGGTGCAAGATTCCTCACCGCCGCACCACGACGTGCCCCAGCATGCTGCTACTACTGCCGCTACTCCCCAAGATCTTCAACTCATTTGGAAATGGAACGAGGCTGTTCCAGAGACGGTGGACGGCCGCGTTCACGATCTCATCACGCAGAGGGCGCAATTGCAGCCCGACGAGCAGGCTGTCTGCGCTTGGGACGGAAACTGGAGCTATCGCGAGCTTGATGAGCGCTCAACTAATCTGGCACACCGACTCGTCCACATGGGCATCGGTCCCGACATCGTTGTTCCCCTCTGCTTCCCAAAGTCAAAATGGACCCCGATTGCGATGCTTGCTGTCATGAAGGCAGGTGGTGCATCAGTCGTTCTCGAGACAAGTCTACCCAGCGACCGGCTGTATAGCATTGTTCAACAAGTCGAACCGATTTTAATACTTTCCTCCTCTATGACCACTGAGCTTGCCGCGCAGCTCACCACGCGGCCAGTCATAATTGTCGACGAGGCCAGCACAACCCCCGATGTCACTAGCATATTACCAGAGGTACAGCCATGGAAATCTCTCTACCTCGTCTTCACTTCTGGCAGTACCGGTACCCCCAAAGGCACAATCATTACCCACTCCAACTTTTGCAGCGCGATTCACCACCAGCGGGCCATATTGGGCTACTCCAGTTCCTCGCGAGTGTACAATTTCACCAAACACTCCTTTGATGTAACTTGGTCTGATTTCATCTTCACCATGACTGCTGGTGGCTGCCTCTGTATTCCCTTGCAACAAGACGCTATGAGCAACCTCGCTGGCTCAATACTGGCATATAACGCAAACTTCATAAATATCACACCATCAGTTGGTAGCATGATACGGCCATCCGATCTCAAAGGCACATTAAAGCAAGTAGTTTTCGCCGGTGAGGCTTTGCCAAGCCATCAGGCTTTGGAGTGGGCACAACATACCCGCGTCATTAATTTGTACGGCCCGGCCGAATGTACAGTCGGGATTACTTTGGCTGTAATAAGCGATATTGCCAATATAGACTCCTCCTCCGCCACTATCGGCCACGGTATTGGTTCGTGCAGCTGGATTGTCGACCAGTCCTGCCACGATAGCCTGGTGCCTGTTGGAGCCGTTGGTGAATTGCTAACGGAAGGACCAGTTGTGGGAGCTGGATATTATAGAAATGCTGAGAAAACAGCTGCAGTGTTCATCGAAAACCCAAAATGGCTGTTGGCTGGACCGCCGGGAGGCTCGGGACGCCCGGGCCGATTATATAAGACCGGTGATCTTGTACGATATGAAGCGAATGGACAACTTGCTTACCTGGGCCGAAAAGACCTGCAAGTTAAGATCAACGGCCAGCGTGTGGAATTGGGCGATATCGAACATCATGTGCGGGCGCATCTCGCCGAAAGCACGGATGTAGGGGTGGTTGCCGAGCTCGGAACTCCGCGTGACAGCGATAGACCTCTGCTCACTGCCTTCCTGCAAATATCAACACCAGCTGCTAGACAAGGTAGAGACGGGCTTGAAGGGGAGTTGAGGAGAGTCATCGTTGGACTCAACAATCGATTAGCCACTCAAATACCGGCATATATGATCCCTTCCGTCTACATCCCACTGGAGGTCTTTCCAAAGAATGCCAATGGCAAGATGGATAGACGCAAACTGAGGGAAATATGTGAAACCTCTTCAATGCAGGAGCTCATGGCCTGGGGCTCGCCTCTTCCCGAGAAGAAAAAGCCAACCACGCGCATGGAATGTCGTCTACAAGACCTCTGGTCTTCTGTTCTCGGCCTTGATATCGGCAACATCGGTGTCAACGATAGCTTTTTGCGACTAGGCGGGGATTCTATTGCAGCCATGAGATTAGCTGGAGCCGCGCGAGGGCATGGTCTGTCGCTTACTGTCGCCGACATCTTCAACCACTCGGTACTGCACGACATGGCAGGTGTCGTTGGCGAGCTTTCCGCAACTAGCAGCTTCATCCAGCCTTACGAATTACTGAACGACCATACTGAGGTGGGAGTTATTAGAAGCCAAGTTGCTGGCGCCTGCGGAGTCAACGCAGCTGAGATTGAGGACGTCTTTCCCTGTACACCTCTCCAAGAGGGTTTAATCGCCCTGACAGCGAAAAACCCAGGCGACTACGTCTCTCGTCATGTATTCCAGCTGCAACCCACAGTGGATATTAAACGTCTCAAGAGGGGGTGGGGGGAGGTTGTAGCGATGACACCCATTCTTCGGACACGTATTGTCAACCTTAACCAACAAGGGCTGGTGCAGGTAGTCCTAAACCAGCCCATAAGATGGGCGCCTAAAGGTGGCGAAATGGATCTTGCGAAATATCAGAAAGAGGATGGGGGGCTTACCACAGGCCTGGGCACGCCCCTGGCTCGGTTTGCACTATTAGAAGAATCGTACGGTGAGGAGATAAGACGGTTTTTTGTGTGGACGATACACCATGCACTTTACGACGGATGGTCTAAGCCGCTTCTTTTGGAGCGGCTTGCTCAAGCTTATGCTGGCGAGGGAACGCTACAGACCTCGCCTCAATTCCAGGGCTTCGTAAGACACATTTTGGGCATGCGGCAAGACGAGGCGACCAAGTTCTGGCTTACCCAATTTGAGGGTTCTGAGGCGCAGACCTTTCCGAACCTGCCGTCGCCGCGCTATCAGCCGAGATCTGATAAGATGCTGACGCACGCCATCGGTGAACTACAGTGGCCAAAGATGATGGGCGTGACTGCGTCGACCATGTTGCGAGCTGCCTGGGCTATCATCACCTCATGTTATACCAATGCTAACGAGGCCGTATTTGGTGTCACGGTGAGTGGTAGGCAGGCAGCCTTGCCAGGCGTAGAGCAGATGACAGGCCCAACCATCGCGACGGTGCCTGTCCGGATTGTTCTAGACAAGCGAAAGACTATCCAAGAGCTCCTTCTTCAAATCCAGACACAGGTTGTTGACATGACGGCGTTTGAACAGACTGGTCTGCAGCGGATTCGGCGAATCAGCCCCGAGGCTGAGAGAGCCTGTGACTTCCAAACGTTGCTCGTCATCCAGCCAGCCGCGGACCAGAAAGAAAAGGCCACCCATGATAGTCTTTTCGCGCCCCAAAGTGATAATGATCACTGGTCCCTCGATGACGAAATGGCAGAATTCCGCACGTATCCGCTGTCTCTGGAATGCTACCTTGAAGATCAAGGCGTCGTCTTGCTGACCAGATTCGACTCTGCCGTGCTGAATGCCGACCAAGTAGCCATCCTGGTGAGGCAGCTCGAGCATGTTGTCCGCCAGCTATGTAGCGCCGAATCTGCTGAGGCAAAGCTGGAAGACGTCCTCTTGGTCGGTCAGGAGGACCTCCAGCAAATGTGGCACTGGAACTCGGTAGTGCCCGATACTGCCGATGGCGTCGTACACGATCTAATCACCATGACGGCGAAGCAGCAGCCAGAGGCACAGGCCGTGTGCGCGTGGGATGGGGACTGGACGTACCGTGAGCTTGATGGGTTATCGACCCGCCTGGCTCACCACCTCGTCACTCTAGGGGTCGGCCCAGAGGTCATCGTCCCGCTGTGTATTGAGAAGTCAAAGTGGATGCCCGTGGCCATGATGGCCGTAATGAAGGCCGGAGGAGCGTCAGTCGCCGTCGACTATGCGCAGCCGGAGGATCGACTCAGCAGCATCGTGAAGCAGGTAAGTCCAGTTGTGATACTAACGTCGATAGCCAATCAGGATCTCGCCCGCCGCCTGGTCCCGCACCAGCCTGTCGTGGTGGTGGGCGAGCAGCTGGTGGCAGGAGCAAAGCTACCAACAACACAGACCAAAACACCAACACCGACGACGAAAACACAAACAATTCCATCACCGACATCAACCGCCGCGGCAGAAACACCGCTGCCCGTTGTCAATCAATCCAACACGCTCTATGTCGTCTTCACATCTGGCAGTACTGGCGCCCCCAAGGGCGTCGTCGTCACTCACGCAAACATCACTAGCGCCATTCGACATCAGCGTGAAACCCTAGGATTCACTAGGCAATCACGAGTCTACGATTTTGCATCGTACATGTTTGATGTAGTCTGGTGCAATCTTCTTCAGGGCCTCTCTGCCGGAGGCTGCATCTGTATTCCAAGTAACGATGATCGCCGCAACGACCCTCTTGGCGCCATCACTCGTCTTGGCGCCAACACGGCCATCTTCACGCCGTCCACCATTCGCGGGCTTGGCTTGCAGTCTCTCAAGGGCTTACGCCATGTACACTTCATTGGCGAAGCCCTCTCAGCTGACGATGTTGGCGGCTTGCATCCGGATAGCGCCGTGACCAACTTGTACGGCCCTACGGAGTGTACAACATTTAGCACTGCCCAACAAGTCACCGCCAACAAAGCTTCAAATTCCGACAAACGTCAACGTATAGGTATCGGCCTAGGTCTGGGTCTGCGCACATGGCTGGTACAGCCGTTTGATCACTCCAAGCTTGTCCCTTTGGGGTGTGTCGGCGAGCTTCTGCTGGAAGGCCCTCTCGTGGCGGCCGGCTACCTTGGGGAGGAGGAAAAGACCGCGGCCGCCTTTATCAACGACCCAGCCTGGCTCTTGGACGGAACTCCCAATCACCCTGGCCGCAACGGACGCCTGTACAAGACTGGAGATCTTGCACGATATGATGCAGATGGAACCTTAACTTTCCTCGGGAGGAAGGACTCGCAGGTCAAGATAAATGGTCAGCGTGTGGAACTGGGCGACGTTGAGCACCACATCCAGTCCAGCATCGCACACAGACAGGACGTGAATGTTGTTGCAGAGGTTATGAAGCCCAGAGACACCAGCAATTCGATCCTTGTAGCCTTCATCCAAGTTGACATCGCGTCTGAGCCCAGAGATGAAGAAACTATGCAGAATGAACTCGCAAAGATTACAGCTGGACTTGCCGACAGACTTCTGGCACGGGTGCCGGCTTACATGGTCCCATCGGCTTACATTCCAATCAACGAAATCCCCGTCACGCCAACTGGTAAGATTGATCGTCGCAGGCTCCGCGCCATGGGCCAACAGTGGACTCTCGAGAGCCTCGTGAGAACCAACTTGCCCTTGTCTTCCGAGCGACCACAGCCCTCTACCGTTACCGAGAAGCGCTTGCAGAGTCTCTGGGCGGCTGTTCTGGGCCTAAAAGCCGATAGTATTGCTGCAGACGATAGTTTCTTGCGCATAGGAGGTGATTCTATTGCGGCTATGAGGCTTGTGGCGGCAGCTCGTGAGCAGAATCTTACCCTCTCGGTGGCCGATGTGTTCCAGCACCCGCTGCTGAGCAACTTGGCTACCGTAGTTGGCGAAGAAGCTGTCGGTACTAGCGGCAAAAACGCCCATCAAAATGAGCCGTTTACTCTTTTGAACTCAGGAGAGGACCTCGAATCTCTCAAGAAGCAAATCGCAGCTAAGTGCAATGTCGAGGCGAGGCAAGTTGCCGATGCGTTTCCCTGTACACCACTTCAGGAGGGCTTGCTTGCTTTGACTGCTAAGCGACCTGGCGATTATGTTGCGCGATTTATCTACCCACTGCTGCCCAGTGTAAGCCCTGAACAGTTTTTTAAAGCCTGGGAGGCTGTTGTTTCCGCAACGCCCATCCTACGGACTCGAATTACTGATCTCGGTGAGCGTGGCTTAGTTCAGGTCATTGTCGACGGACCTATTGGTTGGTCTCGGAAGGACGAATTAATGAGCCTCAAAGATTACGAAATGGTTGACAGGCAGCTCACCACCGGCCTGGGCACACCTATGACACGATTCGCTGTGCTTCAAGACCCAGTTGATGGCAATCGGTTCTTTGTTTGGACCATTCACCATGCTCTCTACGACGGCTGGTCGATTTCTTTAATGCTGAATAGGCTTGAAGCCGCGTATTCTTTGAATGAAGGCAGCGTCCTCCCTTTCTCGCCTCCCCTTCAAACCTTTGTCAACTATATCATGGATATTGATCAGAGTATCGTCGGCACGTACTGGGGCGAGCAATTTCAGGGTTCTGAAGCTCAGACTTTCCCGTCACTTCCGTCTGTCACGTACCAGCCAATGTCAAACGCCTTCATCAAGCATCGTATCCAGGACTTAAAATGGCCAAAGTCTGATGTAACGCCCTCCATGGTGATACGGGCAGCATGGTCACTTTTGGCTACAAAGTATACCGATAGCTCTGATACTGTTTTCGGTGTGACTGTTTCTGGACGACAGGCTAGAGTGCTGGACGTTGAGCGAATTATTGGACCGACAATTGCTACAGTTCCTGTGAGAGTCGCTTTTGAGTGGACAGAGATGACTGTAGAGCGACTCTTACGTCAAGTTCAGGCCCAAGCAGTGCAGATGACGGAGTTTGAGCAGACGGGACTGCAACGCATCCGCCGCGTAAGTGCGGAAGCTGAAAGAGCGTGTGGATTCCAGACTTTGCTCGTTGTGCATCCCGTTGAGGATGAGGAAGAGAAGAATACGAGTAGCCGCTGGTTTATTAGCAGACGGGATGAAAACGGAGAGGACGACACTAATGTGACTGAGTACGACACCCACGCTCTGACAATCGAGTGTAGTTTGGAACGGCAGGGGCTGAGACTGCGTATCGCGTACGACGCCAACATCCTGGACGCTCAACATATCAAGAGACTGGCTACCCAACTTGAACATATTATTCGACAATTGTGCATCCCGGAAAATGCTAGCAAGAGTCTATCCAGCATAGACATGGTGAGTGCCCAAGACATGCGTGATATTTGGGAATGGAACGACACCTGCCCTGAAGCTCTTGACTCTTGCCTTCACGATATGATTTCGAAGACAGCTCAGATTCTCCCGGATGCGTTAGCCGTGAACGCCTGGGATGGTGATTTCACCTATCGCGAGCTTAACGATTTATCTACCCGTCTGGCCTATTATCTCGTTTGCATTGGTGTCGGCCCCGAGACTATTATTCCCCTTTACTTTGAAAAGTCTAAGTGGACCCCAATTGCAATGCTGGCTGTTATGAAAGCCGGCGGCGCATCGGTTTTGATGGACTCGCGCCAACCGCAGGATCGTCTTCGAGCCATCATCGACCAGGTCAAGCCTGTTGTGGTGGTATCCTCTTCGAGCAACGCGGAGCTGGCAAGCAAACTCACGAACACACCGATTATTATTGTGAGCAGCAAACATTTAGAGCGAATTTGCGGCGAAAAACTTCTTGAACGACTTCCCCAGGTCCAGCCGTGGAATAAAGCGTACTTGATTTTCACGTCGGGCAGTACCGGTATACCCAAGGGTGCTATACTGACCCACGCCAATGTGTGCAGCGCCGTACGTTATCAGCAGCTTGCCCAGGGATACACCCCTGATGCCCGAGTCTACGATTTTACCTCGTACGCTTTTGATACAGCATGGAATAACTTCATGCACACCTTTACCATTGGTGCTTGCTTGTGCATCCCATCCGAAAGTGAACGTAGAGACGACCTGGCAGGATCCATCGAGCGATTCAAGCCTACAATCCTCGACATCACACCATCTGCCGCGACGACCTTACAGCACAGCACCATTCAGTCTCTGCGCACGTTGATTCTAGGTGGTGAGAGGCTATCTGCAGAGTATTCCGAAAGATGGAGAGCGCTTGTTGACTTGAAGCTATGCTACGGGCCGTGTGAGTGCACACCCACGGCAACGGTTGCCACTATTGATTGCAGTATTCACGGCGAACCGACGATTGGACGTGGGATTGGCATGGTTTGTTGGATTGCCGATGCAAAGAATCATAATATACTTGTTCCAATCGGCGCAACTGGTGAGCTTGTCCTAGAAGGCCCTCTCGTCGGCAATGGCTATCTAGGCGACGAAGCAAAGACCAGTGCAGTCTTCATTCATAACCCTCCATGGCTACTGCGCGGCAGAGCTGGAAAGCTTGGACGTCATGGCCGCCTTTACAAAACTGGTGACCTCGTGAGATACAACTCGGATGGTACTCTTTCATTTATCGGCCGAAAAGATGCTCAGGTCAAGATAAACGGTCAGCGACTCGAGCTCGGTGAAGTCGAGAATCACATGGCTCGTCATCCACTTACGCGCCAGTCTGCGTCCTTATATCCTTACTCCGGCCCTTGCGCCAAGAAGTTGGTAGGAGTCTTTAGTTTGGAGATCATTCATAGGGCTGATAATTCCCCCCCTATCGAACTTGTTGGCGCAGATGGTGCCACTGCTGTTCAGGACCACATTCACGCGTTACAGGGTCTGTTAGGTGAGGCCTTGCCCTCGTACATGATCCCATCTATTTGGGTGGCTCTTAAAGACATCCCTTTGAATCCTTCAGGAAAGCTTAATCGGCGTGCTGTTGAGGACTGGCTGCTCCGTATGGACTCGGAAACGTTTGCCAGAATCAACAATACGGGCCTCTCACCTGCAGCCCGTAAGCCTAAGACAGACTCTGAGCGTATCCTGTGTGACGCTTGCAGCGTTATTCTGAATACCCCCCTTTCCGAGATAAACCTCCAACGCTCCTTTGTTGCCAATGGCGGCGACTCCATCTCGGCCATGCGTCTCTCGTCCTATTGTCGCGTCGCCGGCCTTATCTTCTCAGTAAGCGTGCTGCTAAAAAGCAAATCGCTTGCCGATGTGGCCCAGCTATCTACAATTGCCACGGATGCTACAGTCAATCGCAGGAAGGAATATAGAGAGGACTTTGACAAGGCCTTTACGCTGTCGCCTATTCAGAAATGGTTTTTTGCCCAAACACCTTCTGAAGATGTCACCAAGGAGGACTACTATTGCAATCAGGGCTTCTACGTGAAGGTTCTTCGACCCGTCTTGACGAAACAGGCCTCTCTGGCCATTGATATGATTGTCAAACGGCACTCTATGCTTCGCGCTCGGTTCGAACGTTCCAAAAGCGGTTGGATGCAGCGTGTTCTTAAACCAATTGATGCTGTTTATCATATTGGCTCTTCAGATGCCCAGTCTATACATGAAATCAAGGCAATCACGGCCAAAAGCCACAAAAGCCTAGATATTGAACGTGGTCTAGTTTTCGCAGCAGACCTATACAATTTACCATCTGGAGATCAATATCTAACGCTTATCGCACACCACTTGGTCGTTGATCTTGTTTCGTGGCGTATCATACTAGATGACCTTGAGGCCTTGCTTACTGGGAAGAAAATCTTGGATTGTTTTCCCTTCCAGGTCTGGAGCGAGTTGCAAACCAGCGAGGCTCGGTCCTCTAAATTCGCGCCAGATAGAGTCCTCTCTACTAAAAACGTGCAAAATAACCACACATTCTGGAACTTCACCGAGCATATCTCCAATACTGCCACAGACCACATTGAAAAGAAGCTGGAAGTAGATAAGGCTACGACAGCCCTGCTACTAAAGGACGCCAATACTGCATTTAATACTGAGCCTATTGACTTGATTCTTTCCTCTATTTGGGACGCCTTTTTTTATGTATTCCCTGAACGAGAGGGCCTTACTATTTTCAACGAAGGCCATGGCCGCGAACCTTGGACAACGGATGTTGACTTGTCCCGCACTGTTGGCTGGTTCACGACAATGAGTCCTATCCACCTTTCTCGCAGCGATGGAGATAATCGTGCTAATATCACAAGGCTAGTCAAGGATGCACGGAGGCGGCTACCCGCTAACGGATGGGCCTACTGGGTATCAAGACACCTAAACGACCAAGGCATAGCGGCCTTTGAGTCTCATGCTTCAACAATGGAACTGCAATTTAACTATCACGGCCAGTTTCAGCAGCTAGAGCGTTCTGACTCTCTCTTCGAAGTGGTCAACTTTGACGATAGCGTATCGCAAGTTGGGCCGTTGCTACCAACATCAGTTTTATTCGATATTAACGTTGCCATTGAAGCTGGGATAACCAAGTTCTCTTTCTCCTGGAACCGACACCTCGCTCACCAAGACTTAATTCAGGCGTGGATAGAACAGATTAATACCTCGCTGCAAGCGATCTGCTTTGAGCTCTCCAACAGGCGTCCCGAGCGCACTCTTTGCGATTATGAATTTCTCAACCTTGACTACAGAGGACTTGACGAGCTACATGGTAACGTTTTAAGCCGTATTGAGGCTCTTAATGACACGCAAGTCGAAAATATCTACCCATCTTCTCCCATGGTGGATGGAATTCTTCTCAGTCAAATGAAAGGGACAGGCTCATACGAAACTTCCCAAACCTGGGAAATACGACCTCGCGAATCTCACGTAATTAATGTCGGCGCTTTAGCTGATGCATGGCAAGCCGTCGTCGCTCGACACCCCTCTTTACGAACCGTCTTTATTCATAGTATGGATGCATCTGCTGCGTTCAACTCTGTTGTGCTCAAGTCCTGCCGTGGGGATGTTGTTCTTGTCGAAAGCAACAGCCTCGAATCAGCACTTGAAATATTTAAGGAACTTCCGAGCATTGACTACACACAGGATAAGCCGGCCCATAGATTGGTGCTGTGCACTATATCAGGGGATAATCGTGTCATTTGCAAGATTGAAATGAGCCACGCCATTTCCGACGGCGCTTCAACAGCTATCACGATGCAGGACTGGGCCAAAGCCTACTCAGGCGAACTAAATGTTGAGGAGCTCAGGAGCATTAGCCACGGGTTTTCTCAGACCCTTACGTCCGTGTCCAAGACTGACAGGATGGCTTACTGGACGAAGAAACTATGTGCTATGGAGCCTTGCCACTTCCCAAGACTGGCCGAAGCCATGCCGGCGGATGATAAGCATGCTACCGGAGTGGCTACCTTGGAACTTGGTGATGAAACTTTCCACCACATTCAGCGATTCTGCGAAGCTCAGTCAATCACACCTGCCAGCTTGTTTCAGAGCGCCTGGGCTCTTACCTTATCTGCCTACACAGGTTCTGACTCAGTCTGCTTTGGATATCTTTCGTCTGGCCGAGATTTTCCTGTTAAGGGTATTATGGAGTCTATCGGTGCGTTTGCTAACGTCATGATATGTCGTACCGATATATCTCGAGAATGGAGTGGGCAGGACTTGATCAGTCATGTCCACAATCAAGTCTTGGATGACCTTGGCTTCCAGCATTGCTCTATTGCTGATATCCAGCACGAGCTAGGCCTACCATTCGGCCAGAATCTCTTTAATTCTATTATATCCTTCCAAAGGGATAATGATAGCTTATCTGAAGGCATGGTGACGGAAGATCTGGTGTTTGCCGATCTTGAATGGGAAGATCCGACCGAATATGACATCACAATCAGCATCAGACACACTGACACTTTGGTCTACTTCACAGTTGATCACCGACTATCTTGCGTATCCAATGATCAGGCGCGGAGTGTTGTTTCACTTCTAGAAAAGGTGGTCAAATTCCTCGTTGGCGATGGCAGAGCCAGCTCCGCAGCTGTCAACAAACCACAAAATCAACTGTCTGCAATGGAGAACATCAGTGAGAGAGATTTGCAAGACATTTGGAGGTGGAACAAAACAGTACCTGAAGCGGTTCATGGACTGGTACATGATATTATTGCGAATGTGGCCCAGGAAAACCCTTATGCCTCCGCTATCTGTGCCTGGGATGGTGATTTAAGCTATACCGAGTTGAATGGTATTGCTACGAAACTCGCGCACCATTTGGTTACTCTGGGCATTGGGCCAGATGTTATTGTACCTCTATATTTTGAGAAATCAAAATGGATGCCTGTCGCGATGCTTGCTGTTATGAAAGCAGGCGGTGCGTCCGTAGCTCTAGATAGAACTCTTCCAGAGGAACGTCTACGCAGCATTATTCAGCAGGTCAATCCTGTAGTCATTCTGACATCAGCGGCAAATGAGGAGATGGCAAAGCGTCTTGCAGACTGTGTCACGGTGCCTGTGAGCGATGCTCATCTTGCGAAGTTAAGCACGTCCTCCACTTCCCTACCGGATGTCAAGCCGATCAATAGGTTGTATATCGTCTTCACATCTGGCAGCACTGGAGTTCCCAAGGGCGTGGTAATCACCCATTCTAATTTTCGTAGCGCTGTTCGCTACCAACAACAAGCTTTAGGTTTTAAGAGCACATCGCGCGTGTACGATTTCGTCAAGTATGCCTTCGATGTCACTTGGTCTAACTTTTTGCACACTATGACATCCGGCGCCTGCTTGTGCATCCCTTCGGAAGACGAGACTTCTAATAATATCACTGGCTCCTTGATATCATATAGAGCAAATTTTGCCGATTTAACACCATCCGTCGCAAGCACTCTGCGCCCAGCCGATCTCACCACTCTGGATCACTTGCTTTTTAGTGGTGAGGCATTGACAACCCATCTTGCTGCACAGTGGGCTGAACAGGCGACTGTCTTAAACACCTATGGTCCTGCAGAGTGCAGTGTTAAGGCAACCTTCGCTATGGTGGGCAAAGCTGATGCGTCTGCTGCTAGCATAGGCTCAGGATTTGGCATGTGCACCTGGGTTGTGCATCCCACTAACCATAACATGCTGGTGCCAATTGGCGTCGTTGGTGAGCTTCTACTTGAAGGGCCTCTTGTCGGCGCAGGGTACCTGGATGATGCTGCGAAAACCCAAGACGCCTTTATCGAAAACCCGGCTTGGCTCGTTGACGGAGCGCGGGGGCGCAGAGGGCGGCTATATAAGACAGGGGACTTGGTACGATATAATATTGACGGAAGCATGACCTTTATAGGCCGCAAGGATGCTCAGGTTAAAATTAATGGCCAGCGATTAGAACTTGGCGATGTTGAGCACCACGTCTGCAGTAATATCGCCTACCACGCGCCGGTCCGGGTCTTTGCTGAAGTTATCAAGCCCCAGCAAAGCGACAAATCCATACTCATGGCATTCATTCATGTCGAGGACGGGCCAGCAATGACTACTCCGCAACGCGCCAAGCAGACTGGCAAGGTTACAGCTGGCCTGAACGAGAGACTCTCTACACAAATTCCTAGTTATATGATACCATCCGCTTACCTACTACTGGATGAGGCTCCCATGACGGCAACCGGCAAGACTGACCGTCGACGACTGCGCGAAATTGGCCAGCAGTTGACATTCGAAGAAATCATGGCGCTCAACTATAAAAGCGGAGAGTATAAACGTCCCAGCAGTACCATGGAGAGACGTTTGCAAAGCCTATGGGCATCCGTTCTTGGTGTTAGGGAGGACTCCATCAGCGCGGATGATAGCTTTCTTCGGATTGGAGGTGATTCTATCGGAGCTATGAAGTTAGTTGGTATCGCTCGGGAGGAGGGACTTGCACTTACCGTCACCAATATCTTCAAGCAGCCTAAGCTATGCGATTTGGCAAAGGTTGTCAGGCAGGTCTCTCGTGCTGACTGCGAGATCATCCAGCCATTCTCGCTGTTAAAATTCGGTACTGATTCTGAGGCGGCTCGGGATCAAGTTGCCAAATTGTGCCAGATTGACATCAGCCAAATCGAAGACATCTTTCCCTGCACCCCACTACAAGAAGGCCTCCTTGCATTGACAGCTAAGAGAGCTGGCGATTACGTTGCTCAGTATGTGTTGCCTCTACAAAAGACGACCGATGTCACTCGTTTCAAAAGAGCTTGGGAAGCTGTGCTGCAGATGACTCCTATTCTGCGCACCCGAATCGTTGACCTCCTGGGCCAAGGCCTAGTACAGGTTGTGCTTAAGGAAAATGCGAGTTGGTCCGAGTGCTCAAGCGTGAGCGAGTATCAGCAAGCAGACCAGAAACTCGTCATGGGCATGGGTAAGCGTCTTGTTCGATACGCTGTCACCGATGCACCTGATTGCCAGCAGCGTTTCGTCTTTGTATGGACCGTACATCACGCGCTCTACGATGGATGGTCCATGCCACGTATCATGGAGAGGTTAGAGCAGGCTTACAAGGGGGACGTGGTTCTCCGGCAGGCTCCTCCTTTCCAGCGCTTTGTTAAACACATTATTAATATCGACGAGGAGCGTGCCAAGCAGTTCTGGCAAGCGCAGTTTGAAGAATCGGAGGCACAGGTATTTCCTGTGCTACCATCACCCACGTATCAGCCAACTGCAAATTCGTCCACCGCCCATTATATCGATTCCCTACACTGGCCCAAGACCGACATCACCGCGTCCACTGCCATCCGCACAGCGTGGTCCATTCTAGCTGCCAGATACACAAACTCTAATGATGTGGTCTTTGGCGTCACAGTGAACGGTCGGCATGCCGCTGTGCATGAAGTAGACGAAATGACGGGCCCTACTCTTGCAACCGTGCCTGTCCGAGTGGCCTTTGATTGGGAGCAGACGGTTGAATCATGCCTCTGCCAGATTCAGGAGCAATTGGTAGAAATGGCTGCTTTTGAACAGACAGGCTTGCAGAGAATCCGCCAGATGGGCATCAAGGCCAAACAGGCCTGCAACTTTCAGACCCTTTTGCTGATACATCCCCCCGAAGAGGCTGTGCAGCTCGAAACCGAGATTTTTGCGTGCAAAGACCAAGACAATGATGATGATGAGGAGAATCAACTCGCCCAATTCGACACACATGCCCTTACCATTGAATGTGACTTGGCACACCACGGCATGACCTTGAGGTTTGAGTTTGATAACAGCATTATGAGTAAACGTCAAATCGAAAAACTGGCTGGCCAGATTGAGCACGTCCTGCGACAGTTGTGTGACCCAGAACAAGGAAAGATACGGCTCACAGATATTGAGACGGTTAGCAAGGAGGACCTCAAAGACATTTGGGGATGGAATGCTACTGTGCCGGAGACCGTGAAGACCCCGGTTCATGAAATAGTCACCGCCATGTGCCAGAAACAACCTGAAGCTCCTGCTATATGTGCGTGGGATGGTGACTGGAATTACGGACAACTAGACGATCTATCCTCGCGCTTAGCTCATTACCTCCAACATTTTGGGGTGGGTCCCGAAGTAATTATTCCTCTGTGCTTCGAAAAATCAAGATGGAGTCCTATTGCCATTCTTGGTGTTATGAAGGCCGGAGGGGTTTGTGTGACCATGGATTCGAACTTGCCCGAGGAGCGCCTTGCCAGCATTGTGCAACAAGTCAAGCCAACACTAATCCTCTCATCCTTGGCAAAGAAGGACCTGGCTACGCAGTTGTCGACCGGTAAACCTGTGCTCGTCATTGATGAGAAGTTATTTCTTTCTCTAGACACGCCGGCATTGGAGCCCCTGCCGAAGGTGCAGCCTTCCAACACGCTTTACATTGTTTTTACCTCCGGCAGTACCGGCACACCCAAAGGCGTGCGCATCACGCATTCCAACTTTAGCAGTGCTATGCTGCACCAGCATAGTGCTCATAATTTTGACAGCATAGCGAATCCGCGGGTCTATGACTTCGCATCATGTGCCTTCGATACATCTTGGCAGAATATGCTTGCCACGTTTGACTGTGGTGGATGTTTATGCATTCCGTCAGAAGCCGAGCGGCGCGATGACCTAGCTGGTTCTATCGAACGCTTTGGAATTACTCACAGTGAGCTCACGCCTTCCGCTGCCATGGTGCTACCTCTGTCAACGCTTAAGAATCTGGATACCTTGGTGCTTGGCGGCGAGAGGCTTCAAGAAGAGTACGCTAAAAGATGGGCATCGCTGGTTACCGTAAAGAATTCATACGGCCCTAGTGAATGCACTCCGACCTCTACCGTCGCAGATGTCGACCCTGTCCATTTCAACGGAGCAAGCATCGGTAGAGGCAGAGGTGTTAACACATGGGTCGTGGACACGACAACTGGCGATTCTTTGGTGCCAGTAGGAGGCGTTGGCGAGTTGATGCTCGAGGGACCACTCGTTGGGCCCGGGTATCTAGGAGACCCTGAAAAAACTGCCTCTGTTTTTATCAACAACCCGCCTTGGCTTATTCGAGGAGCTCCGGAACATGCTGGTCGTGAGGGCCGCTTGTATAAAACTGGTGACTTGGTCTGCTATCATGAGGATGGCACCCTGACATTTATCGGTCGTAAGGATGCTCAGGTTAAGATCCACGGTCAGCGCGTCGAATTAGGCGATATCGAAAATCATATTTTGCGCCATCATCTTACAAGACAATCGGCCTGTCTGCTTCCCAAGACTGGGTTTTGGGCAAATACACTTGTCAGCGTCTTTAGTATCCAAAAAATCCAGCAAAGCTTTGACGAAGTCGATACCACCTCGGGTCAACAGACGCCGTCTCTCGCCAGCGTTTCTAGCTCAACATCGCCCGATACCGACTCAACGAGCAGCAGTTGGAGTTCGATGGAAGATTCGGCTACCCCGTCATCACAGCCAAGCACGGATATTGTTCTCGAGGATTCTACTACCGCCATCCAGGACTACATTGCAATCATGCAAAGCATCCTTGAAACCTCACTTCCTTCCTACATGGTTCCTACCCGGTGGATCGCGCTCAAGGAAATTCCACTCAACCCTTCCGGCAAGCTCAATCGTAAGCAGGTTGAAAATTGGCTCACTGAGATGGATCAGGACACGTATGCCAAGCTTTCTAGCATTGATAACAGCTTGGTTTGCCGCGGACCAGAAACTGAGGCGGAACGCGTTCTTCGAGATGCGTGTAGCCTAATTTTAAACGTACCGGCCTCTGAGATTAATCTTCAGCGCTCCTTTGTAACTAATGGCGGCGACTCTATTTCGGCGATGCGGCTGAGCCCACACTGCCGTTCTAACAATGTCGTCTTCTCTGTCGCTACTTTGTTAAAGGCTAGGTCTTTGGCTGAGGTTGCTAAGCTCTCCTCAGCAGTGACAAGTCTAATACTCCCTCGGACCGAAGACTTTGACAAACCGTTCCATTTATCGCCAATCCAGCAATGGTTCTTCAATCAGTCGCCTGATTATCTTGTTGACAAAGCAGGCCATTATTGCAACCAATCATTCTACGTCCGGATCAACCGAGTAGTCGACATAAAGGAAGTTAGAGTCGCTATTTCCAAGATTGTGGAGTTACACTCGATGCTTCGTGCCCGCTTCCAGAAGCAAGACCATGTCTGGACCCAGAGCATCCCACAAGCCACCGAGGCCGTCTACCACTTTGAGGCTGTGAAGCTAAAATCCATCAGCGAGATGCAATCTCTTGCAGCTCAGCGTCAACAGAGTTTGAACTTTGAACGCGGTCTCGTGTTTTCTGCTGATCTTTGCGAACTTGATGCTGGAGAGCAGTACCTGGTTCTCATTGCACATCACTTGGTTATTGACCTTGTCTCTTGGAGAATAATCTTGGAAGACCTCGAGACTCTTCTCACTGGCGGAACGTTGTTGGAAAGCCTCCCATTCCAAATCTGGAACGACCTTCAATATCAAGAGGCCAAGAGTTCTAGATATGACCCAGACCGCGTTTTATCCACGGAGGGCATCAGCAACGATTTGGCCTTCTGGAATTTTACATCAGACACTCCGAATGGAACACAAGACCATACTGACAAGACATTCATAATTAATCGGCACATCACTTCACTCACGTTGAAGGAAGCGAATAACGCTTTTAATACTGAGCCTGTCGACTTGCTCTTATCAGCAGTGTGGGATGCATTCTTTCGCATCTTCCCGTCACGAGATGGCCTCACAGCGTTTAATGAAGGCCACGGCCGGGAGCCCTGGAATGCTGAAATTGACCTATCTCGAACAGTTGGTTGGTTTACCACGATGAGCCCAATACATGTGTCACGAAGCATCGGTAACAATCCCGTCAACATTGTAAGACTCATCAAGGATGCAAGACGGAAACTGCCCGCCAACGGATGGGCCTATTTTGTTTCTAGGTACCTCAACAGCAAGGGTGTCGAGGTTTTCGGTCCCCACGATTCTGTCATGGAGATGGTTTTCAACTACCATGGTCAGTTCCAACAGCTCGAACGGGATCACTCCTTGTTCGACAGCATAGCCCTTGACGACGTCTCTGACGTAGGGCCAAATCTGCCCGCCTCCTCCCTATTTAACATCAACATGTCTATTGAGGGCAGACAGACTCATGTTTCATTTGCTTGGAATCGTCACATCTCAAACCAGGACCTCATCCACGAATGGATTGACCAGATAGGGCCTTCTTTGGGGGCCATCTGTGAGAGCCTTATAGGTAGGTCTAGAGAACGGACGCTCGTTGATTATGAGTTTCTGAGCCTGGACTACACCGCCTTGGATGGCCTCCAGAGCCGAATCATTCCAGAAATCGAAGGCCTCAACGGCACGGAAGTAGAGGATATTTATCCTTGCTCTCCAATGGTGGAAGGTATTTTACTGACCCAATTGAAAGACGTCGGGTTCTACGAAACATCTCAGCTGTATGAGATCAAACCGCGTGGCTCTCATGTCATTAATATACGGCAGCTTTCTACGGCCTGGAAAGACGTGATTGCCCGTCATCCATCTCTACGAAGTATCTTTATTGAGAGCCTGGATCCTGATATGGCTTTTAACCAAGTTGTCCTTAAAGAGATTCGCGGTGATGTTGTCCTGCTGGAGAGTGATGACCTCGATTCAGCGCGAGCGCTGATGCAAAACCTTACCAAGGTCAAGTACCACAAGCTCAAGCCCCCTCATCGCGTTTCTCTCTGCCAAGTCCACGCTACGAATAGTCTGCTTTGTCAAATCGAGATGAGCCACACTATTACTGACGGCGCATCCACCGGGATCCTTATCGAAGATTGGGCAAAGGCCTACAAGGGCCTCCTGGGCAAAGATAACCTAATCGAAACGAGTCGAGGATTCGCACGAGCCTTAACTTCTAGTATTTCAGAAAGCAAAAGGTCTTATTGGAAGAAGAAGCTGGCCGGCCTTCAGCCCTGTCTATTTCCCCATCTGGATAAGATTTGCGAGCCCTCAGAAGTGGTATCCTGGTCAGTGGTAGAGATAAGCGGCGCAGAATTTGCTGCTGTGCAAAAGTTCTGCGAGTCTTACTCAATCACCCCTGCCAGTTTATTCCACGCAGCCTGGGCACTCACATTGACGTCATATACCGGGACACATAGTGTTTGCTTTGGTTATATTGCTTCAGGCAGAGACCTTCCTGTCCCGGATATCGGGGAAGCTATAGGCGCATACGCCAACATGATGGTTTGCCGCGCAGACATCTCGCCTGACTGGAGCAAACAACGTTTTGTTCAATATCTCCACCACCAGGTTCTAGAAGATATGGGATACCAACACTGCTCTCTGGCTGATATCCAACATGATTTGGGCATTATTTCTGGACAGCAGCTGTTCAATACAATCATGTCTTTCCAGAAAGATGTTGATGAAGTTCAAGAAGGACCCATTAGCCAAGAACTAGACTTTATCGATGAAGATGGAGATGACCCTACAGAATACGATGTTGCAATCAGCATAACCGTCGGTGCTAAGCTTGCGAAGCTGTTCATCAACTGCCTGCCATCGCGATTCAGCAATGAGCAGGCCCACCGCATCGTGTCGCTGTTTAAGACTGCCGTCACCAGGCTGATTGGTGACGACATTCCCCAGAGCTATGAGAGTACACTACGCAGCATCAACTTGGTCAGCGAGGATGACCTGAAAGATATCTGGCAATGGAACTCAATCGTACGTGAGGCTGCGGATTCATGTCTTCATAATCTGATCAGAACAACGGCACAAAGACGGCCTGAGGCGTATGCCGTCAATGCATGGGATGGTAACTGGACATATGGCCAGCTGGAGGACAATGCCACACAACTAGCTTATCATCTCGCAACCCTTGGTGTCGGACCCAATGTTGTCGTCGCTATATATGTTGAAAAGTCGCGCTGGACGTCGGTGGCTATGTTGGCGGTCATGAAACTTGGCGGGGCTTCAATTATGATGGATTCGTCTCAGTCGGAAAACATTCTTCGCACCATCATGCAGCAATCGAAGCCAGTGCTGCTACTTTCGTCGAGTTCAACCGCACGGTTCGCAGCCAAGCTTACGGATCGGCCTATTCTCGTTGTTAATAACGATCTTGTCGAAATATTGGCCAGAGCAGCTGCTGTTCCTCTCCCCGTTGTCCAGCCATCAAATATGGCGTGTCTAGTGCTTTCCTCGGGAAGTTCTGGCCCGTCAAAGGTCGCAATTTTGACACATGCCAACCTTAGCAGCGCTGTGAAGTACCAGCAAGATGCCCTGGGATACAAGCCTAACTCGAGGGTCTACGATTTTATGCCATATAGCTCTGGTATAACCTGGGAAATTTTCACGCACGTATTTACCATCGGCGGTTGCCTTTGTGTTCCTTCAGAGTCTGGGCATAAAGGCGTCCTCGCAGATTCGATATCCCTATGGCAACCCACCATCATGAGCATTACCCCGTCAGCCGCTGCCATGCTTTTGGATAGCACTGTCCAGTCACTGGAGACGTTAGTATTACACGGCGAACGTCTTTCACCAGATATAGCCAGGCGCTTGGCTCCACTAGTAAACCTAAGGTTTACGTATGGCTGTTGCGAATGCACCCCAATAGCTACCATGTGCAGTGTTCGCCCGGAGGATGCCGATGAGCCCAGAATTGGCAGAGGCGTCGGTATTAACACATGGATTACTGATACACAAGATGGCACAACCCTTGTACCCATTGGCAGCATCGGGGAGCTTGTGCTAGAAGGACCATTGGTTGGCGCTGGCTACCTAGGCGATGCCGAAACAACAGCGGCAGCCCTCATTCACAACCCACAATGGCTTAACCGTGGTAGTGGCGATCCAAAATACCCAGGCCGCACAGGCCAACTATTCAGGACCGGTGATCTGGTCCGTTATAATAAGGATGGCTCCTTGACCTTCATTGCCCGCAAGGAAGCCCAGGTCAAGATCCACGGTCAACATGTGGAGCTAGAAGACATTGAGAATCACATGGTGCGCCTGCCATCGATACGTCAAGCTGCTTGCTTGGTCCCTAAGTCTGGACCCTTTGCCGATAAACTTGTCGGTGTCTTTAGTCTCGATGGGAGTTATGAGGGCGATAGCAATGCCGATAATACTGAACTGCATCTCATGGCAAGAGACAAGGCCGAGGAGGTACAAGACAATATTTCGTCTCTACAGGCTTTGCTAGACAACTCAATTCCTGTTTACATGGTTCCAGATGTCTGGGTGGCACTGAAGAACATTCCTGTCGACCATTCCGGCAAGCTGGACCGCAAGTTGGTTGACAACTGGCTTTCTAGCCTTGATGCGGAGATGTCTGCCAGAATTTCGAACGCCATATCGTCAGCCAGCAGTCCAGTCACCGCGACAGAGAGGGTGATTCAAGACGCATGCAGTCACGTTCTAAATATTCCTGCCAGCCATATTAATATGCAGCGATCCTTTATCGCTAACGGAGGTGACTCTATATCTGCAATGCGTATTAGTCCGTATTGCCGCGCCTCTGGTATTCTAGTGTCTGTTGCGTCACTACTCAGGAGTAAAAAACTCGTCGATGTCGCCGAGTCTGCAACTGTTGCCAAGGGTCCGTCTCTATCCCGAGAGGAAGACTTTGACAAGCCTTTCAGCCTCTCACCAATACAGCAATGGTTCTTTGCCCAGTCCCCGCCAGACAAGGTAAACACCACAAGCTATTACTGTAACCAGGCCTTCTATGTTCAAATTAAGCGCCCGGTGTCCCCAGATGGAGTCTCTCTTGCTCTTCGCAAGATTGTTCAGGAGCACTCTATGTTAAGAGCACGATTTCACCTGGATGAAACGAAAGGTTCCTGGACGCAATTGATCCCAAAGCCAAGCGATGGCCTTTATCACTTTGCATCTTTGCAGGCCGACACCCTTCCCGCAGTCCAGTCAATAATATCTCAGCGCCACCAAGAGCTGGATATTGAGCGTGGGTTGGTCTTTGCCGCTGACTTGTTCACTCTCCCATCCAGCGAGCAATACCTCGCACTCATTGCTCATCATTTAGTTGTCGACTTGGTGTCCTGGCGTGTCATATTAGAGGATTTAGAGTCCCTTCTCAACGGTGGTACAGTCCTCGAAGAGCTACCCTTCCAAGTCTGGCATAGTCTTCAGAAACAAGAAGCTCAGTCGCCAAACTTTGCGCCTGAGAGAGTCTTGTCCAGCGATGTTCACAATGAGCTCGAGTTCTGGAACTACACTCCCACCACCCCCAATACCTTCGATGACCATATCGAGGAATCCTTCGAGGTCGACTGTGCGACAACTGCGATTTTGCTTAAAGAAGCTAATGAGGCATTTAATACCGAGCCAGTTGATATCATTCTGGCGTCAGTTTGGGATGCATTCTTTAAGACCTTTAAAATGCGTAGTGGCCTCACAATCTTTAATGAAGGTCACGGCCGAGAGCCATGGGGGGCTGAAATCGATCTATCCCGAACTGTTGGTTGGTTCACCACAATGACCCCGATGCACGTATCGCGTGATCACACGAGGAACAACAGTGCGAGAGTCGTCAAGGATATTAGAAGGCAACTACCGTCAAATGGCTGGGCCTACTTCACCTCGCGCTATCTCAATGATGAGGGTATCAAGGCCTTTGAGTCTCATGATTGTGTCATGGAAGTGCTTTTTAACTACCATGGTCAGTTTCAGCAGTTGGAATCCGACGAGTCCTTGTTTGAGAATGTCGCATTCGATATTTTCGACGTCGGCAATGACCTTCCCGCCTCTGCACTCTTCAGCATTAATGCTTCCATTGAAGGTGGCTTAACCAAATTTACTTTCTCTTGGAACCGGCATATCAACCACCAGGATCTTATCCGAGACTGGATCGCGCAGGTAGCTCCCTCCATGCAGGCTCTTTGCAACTCCCTGTTGGCCTGCCAGCCCTCGCTCACTATTTCGGACTACGAATTCTTGAATCTAGACTACAAGGGCCTCGATGAGCTGCAAAATCGTATTCTTCCCGCCCTACAGTCTGAAACTGGCACTACCGTCACCGACATCTATCCTTGCTCGCCTATGGTTGATGGCATGCTACTTAGTCAGATAAAGGATCCGGAAGCTTACAAGACGTTGCTCACGTATGAGATGAAACACCACAATAGCCTGCAGCCGCTTAACATTGACGTACTGGCCAAGGCGTGGCAAGCTGTTGTTGCGCGCCACCCAGCCCTCCGCAGTGTTTTTATCGAAGGTGTCGACAAGAAGACGGCCTTTGTTCAGGCCGTACTCGAGACATACCAAGGAGAGATAATAATATGTGAGGCCGAAAACAGGACAGCGGCTGTGACTATGATTCGGAAATTACCTTCGGTTGACTACCAGCGGCTCAAACCAGCTCATCGTCTAGTTCTCTGCACGGCTAGGGATGCCAACACAATCATCTGCCAGATTGAAATGAGCCACACAATCGTTGATGGTGCATCTACCGCCATAATGTTAAACGACTGGTCAATGGCATATAGCGGGAGCTTGGGCACAGAAACTTTAGCGGAGACGAACCGCAACTTTGTCCGGGCTCTCAAGTCCAGTCCTCTGGCCAACAAAATGGCATATTGGAGCAAAAAGCTAGCCGGCCTGGAGCCATGTCACTTTCCTACTCTCTCTGACGCGCCTTCTCCTGGGAACTCTATCGCTGTGGTTAGTACTGATCTCGACGGCGACGACTTTACACGCATACAGCGCTTCTGTGAATCCGAATCTGTTACCCCTGCAAGCATATTCCAAAGTGCCTGGGCGCTATTGCTATCAACTTACACTGGCAATGATTCTGTGTGCTTTGGATACATTGCCTCTGGCCGTGATCTACCTATTGATGGCATCGCAGAGTCTGTTAACGCTTACGCTAATATGATGATTTGCCGCGCTGATGTGTCGCGCAATTGGACTCCGCGGCAGTTTGTTAAGCGTCTTCACGATCAAGTCCTAGAAGATCTTGACTTTCAGCACTGCTCTCTTGCCGACATACAGCATGACCTTCGGCTCTCTCCCGGATACCCATTATTTAGTACTATTGTTTCTTTTCAAAAGGACGATGCAGATGCGGCAGACGACGTCGCTGTCGGAGATTTGGTTTTTGTTGACATGGATCACGAGGATCCTACTGAGGTAAGTTTGCGTCCTGCCAAATTGAATGTCCAAAACTTAGTACTCATCACGATACGCAGTATGACATTTCCTTCGACATCAGCTATGGCAAGTCCCAAGTCGCATTTTCACTCGACTACCGCTTGTCTTGCCTGACAAACGAACAGGCCGAGCGTGTTATTTCGCTCTTGAGGGTCATCACCATGTCAATTATTAATGAAAAGACAGTGTCAGCCACCCTCGCTTCTATTGACATGGTTAGCGAAGAAGATCTTGGGCAGATATGGAAGTGGAACTCTGTTGTTCCCGAGAAGGTGGAAGCCTTGGTACACGATTTAATATCCGACACGGCGCGTAAATTCCCCAACGCCCCAGCCATCTGTGCCTGGGATGGAGATTGGACTTACCAGCAATTGGATACCCTTTCCACAAACCTCGCTTACGAATTATTGAAACTCGGCGTCGGTCCTGAGCATATGGTTCCGCTCTGCTTTGAAAAGACTCGATGGACACCTATAGCAATGCTTGCAGTTATGAAAGCCGGTGGCTCAAGTGTGGCGTTGGACACTTCCCTCCCTGAGGAGCGCCTGCGCATCATCATGCAGCAGCTCAAGCCAACGATTATCCTTACTTCATCAATTGGCCGGGATCTCGTGGGTCGCCTCACTACGGGCCTCGTCTTCACAGTTGACGAGGCGAATGTGGCTCGTCTGGAAACGCCTCCCAATCCAGCTATGATCCTTTCCGATGTGACGCCTTCCAACACGCTATATGTTGTGTTCACCTCTGGCAGTACTGGAACTCCAAAGGGCGTTACTATTAATCACTCAAACTTTGCCAGTTCCCTCCGCCATCAACGCGGCGCACATAACTTCAAGGCTGGTGCCCGAGTCTATGACTTTGCATCGTATACATTTGACGTGTCTTGGCAAAATGTGCTTAGTGCCCTCGAATGCGGTGCATGCCTCTGTATTCCATCAAACTCAGAGCGTCAGAACGATTTAGCCGGCTCGTTGGAGAGATTCCAAGTCTCCCACGCGGAAATGACCCCCTCGGCTGCTCAGCTTCTGCCGGCCAGCGCGATAAAGCGATTAGATACGCTGATTCTTGGTGGCGAAGTGCTTTCGCCCGAACTGGCCAAGCATTGGGCCAGTATGGCAAACGTCAAGAACTCATACGGACCATGCGAGTGCACACCAACAACGACCGTGGCAACTATTGACCCAGACAATGTTCAAGTGGCTAGCATTGGTCGTGGTTTTGGTGTCAATACGTGGGTCGTGAGCGCCACGGGTGATTCTCTTGCCCCTGTGGGAAGCACTGGTGAGCTGTTCCTTGAAGGCCCGCTAGTTGGTCCTGGTTATCTCGATGATGCCGAGCGTACAGCTGCATCTTTCATTGAAAACCCGTCTTGGCTGCTTCGTGGCTCAGCAACTCATCCCGGACGAAAGGGACGCCTGTACAGGACTGGCGATCTTGTGCGTTACCAGCCTAACGGCAGCCTAACATTCATTGGCCGTAAAGATAGCCAAGTCAAAATTAACGGTCAACGTCTAGAGCTGGGTGATGTCGAATACTACATCAGCTCAAATATTACCTATAAAGGCGACGTTCGAGTGGTTGTGGACGTGGTCAAGCCTCAAGACAGCGAAAGACGTGCTCTAGTTGCTTTCTTGGGCGTAGAGGAAACATCTGCAGACTTGGACAAGATTATCGCTGGTCTGGCTGACAGACTCGCCGCGCAGGTGCCCGCATACATGATACCCTCTGCATACATGCTGCTCGAGAGCATCCCAATGACGGCTTCGGGAAAGACGGATAGACGAAAACTCCGCGCCATGGCTGAGAAACTGACAAGAGTCGAGCTCATGGCCCATGGCCCAACCCAGGCGACAAGACGAGCGCCAACGACACCAAAGGAGATTCAGCTTCAAGGACTTTGGTCCACTGTACTTGGGATTCCACGGGAGATGATTAGCTCCGAAGACAGCTTCTTGCGAATTGGAGGAGATTCGATTGGAGCCATGAAACTTGCTGGCTTGGCGCGAGATGCTGGCCTTTCCATGACCGTCACCGACATCTTTCGCCACCCGTGCCTAAGTGACCTCGCTAAAACTATTCGCAGCTCATTCGGCAATGAACATGAAGTCGTGCTTCCGTTTTCTTTGCTTTCAAGCAAGCGAGACGCACTAGAGTGGCAAGCCCAGATTGCCCAGCTCTGCGACGTCAGCGCACCGCTTGTTGAAGACGCATTCCCCTGCACACCCTTACAGGAAGGCCTTTTGGCTCTTACCTTGAGACGCTCCGGTGACTATGTGGCTCAAAATATCTTCGAGCTCAAGCCTGATATCAGTATTTCTCGCTTTCAGCGTGCTTGGGAGCACGTCATTGCAACAACGCCAATTCTTCGAACACGAATTGTCGATCTTCACACACAAGGTCTAGTTCAAGTTATTATTGCAGAAGAACCGACAATGTGGCCAGAACCTACCAGCACCATTCTCTACCAGGAAGCAGACAGGAAGCTGGGTATGGGCCTGGGTACACCTCTCATGCGGTATGCTATCGCCAAAGACTCTCATGACCGACATTGCTTTATTTGGACTGTACACCATGCCTTGTATGACGGGTGGTCAATGCCACTGGTCCTTGAGAGACTAGAGATGGCATATAATGGAACAGTTCTACAACCACCGCCGCCGTTCCAGGACTTTGTCAAGTTTATTGGTGGTGTCGATGACGGCGGTGTCGAAGGGTTTTGGACGTCGCAGTTTAACCAAATCCAGGCTCAAGCATTCCCATCACTACCTTCGCCAGTATACCAGCCACGCTCAGACGCTGGTATTTCGCACCAAATCAAAGATCTGGCGTGGCCAAAGACGGATACAACCGCATCAACTGCTGTACGCGCCGCACTATCAATCCTTATTGCGGTGCACTCCGACTCTTGCGATTCACTCTTTGGTGCGACAGTCACTGGTCGACAGGCTCCAGTACCTGGAATTGAGAACATGACGGGCCCGACAATTGCTACTGTGCCAATTAGGGTGCCCGTTGACAGAGAAAGCACCGTCAAGCAGCTTTTGCAGCAAGTGCAAGCCCAAGTCATTGACATGACGGCATTCGAGCAAACAGGTCTGCAGAGAATTCGAAGGGTCAACGCATCTGCCAAGCAAGCTTGCGACTTTCAAACACTACTGCTCATTCACCCGATTGAGGAACCCGGCAAATCCACAAGCTCTCTCTTCGATGACGCAGAAGACGAAGAGGACGTGGACGGAGACGAAATTGTCGATGAGTCCTTTGCAGGATTTGACACCCATGCTATCACGATTGAATGCGACCTTGAGAATAGTGGCGCGCTGCTTCGCTTCAGATTCGACTCTCAAGTGATCAAGAAGTCTGAGGTCGAGAAGCTCGCGGCCCGATTTGACCTGATTCTGCGCCAACTCTGCGACCCTGATATGGCTCAGCTCAAGATTTCCGATATTGACACGGTCAGCCCCGGGGAGCTGAAGGAGATTTGGGACTGGAATTCCGTCGTCCCTGAGACTACTAACTACGCCGTGCATGACTTAATTGCCGAGAATGCCTCTAAATATCCTGATTCTCCGGCAGTCTGCGCGTGGGACGGCAACTGGACATATCATCAACTTGACTCTATCGCCACACGCATCGCCCGCCGCCTGGTTAGTCTAGGCATTGGTCCCGATGTCATCGTGCCTCTTTGCTTTGAGAAGTCTCGCTGGATGCCTGTAGCGATGCTAGCTGTTATGAAGGCGGGAGGCGCATCGGTCGCTCTAGATACCACATTGCCTCCAGAGCGACTACGCAGTATATTGCAACAAGTCAGCCCGTCCTTGGTTCTGGCGTCATCTTCGAGCCAAAGGCTCGCGGAGGGCTTGACCGATCAACCGATATTGGTCTTGGGCGAAGGATCCCAAGAAGAATTTGACGAACCTGCCCTACAGACGCTTCCTAAAGTTGAGCCCTGGAACAAACTTTATCTTGTGTTTACATCGGGTAGCACTGGTGTTCCGAAGGGAGCCATCGTCACTCATTCCAACTTTAGTAGTGCTATCCGTCACCAACAAGCTATTACAGGCTTCGGCAAGTCTTCCCGCGTATTTGACCTTGCCAAGTACGCTTTTGACATTAGCTGGTCTAATTTTATCCATACCATGGCTGCGGGGGGCTGCCTTTGTATACCTTCACAGCAAGAGGCTCTCGACAATATTACCGGCTCGATTCTAGCTTACAATGCAAACTTCATAGATATTACGCCGTCTGTTGCCAGTACACTGCGGCCATCAGACTTGAGATGCCTCAAAACCGTTGTTTTTGCTGGCGAGGCACTTACCAACCACCAAGCCTCCCAGTGGTCAAAGCATGCGCGCGTGCTTAATATGTACGGTCCGGCAGAATGCACAGTGAAGGCCACATTGGCCGAACTCGACGGGACTTGCTCATCTTCAGCAGCCAGCATCGGTCGCGGCGTCGGTTTGTGTACTTGGGTCGTCGATCCTTCAAATCACGACAAACTCTCACCGGTTGGGACAGTTGGAGAATTGGTATTGGAAGGGCCGCTCGTGGGATCGGGCTATCTTGGCGATGCCACAAAAACTGCAGGCGCCTTTATCGAAAGCCCAGCTTGGCTACTCCGTGGCGGACCGGGCCACCAAGGTCGCAGAGGGCGCGTATACAAAACTGGTGATCTCGTCCAGTACAATGTCGATGGTAGTTTGACATTCGTCGGTCGAAAGGACGACCAGGTCAAGATCAACGGCCAGCGTTTGGAACTTGGCGATGTAGAACACAATCTTGCATCAAGCCTAAACGCCACTTCGAAATTCCAACTTGCAGCGGAGGTTATAACGCCTCGAGATGGCGAAAACGCGATGCTAGCTGCTTTTATACAGTCATCCGGACAACTTGGTGATTTCGAGTCGGAGATGCGCACACTGACAGCGGGCCTCAACGATCGCCTTGCTTCCAAGGTTCCTGGATACATGATCCCTTCGGCCTACATCATGGTAGACAAGCTGCCGCTTTCCGCCACCGGGAAGCTGGACCGCAAGCAGCTCCGCGCTATGGGGGCGAAACTCACTCTGCTGGAGCTCATGTCTTCGACTGGGCCACAGCCAGAACGCCGGCCGCCGTCTACTCCTATGGAGCTGTGCCTGCAGAAGCTTTGGGCTCACGTCCTTGACCTCAATGCCGAAGAAATCAGTGCGGATGATAGCTTCCTTCATCTTGGCGGTGACTCGATCCAGGCCATGAAACTCGCCCAGCGAGCCCGGAGCCAAGGTTTCCACCTTGCTGTTGCCGACATTCTCATAGGCCCTAAACTGTCACAGATGGCTTCCCGCCTAGAATGTTTAGACGGGAAGCCGGCTGCGCATGCACTCGAGTATCGCCGATTTTCGCTATTGCCGCCAGAAAGCCGACTAGAAATCGAGCAGATCTTGGTCGAACACGGCATCTCTAAAGATAACGTGCAGGACATCCTGCCTGTTACCGACCAGCAGGCCCGATATCTACTTACAACTTACACAACGGCCCGTAGCGCTGTGTACTACCACACGCTAGATCATGACGGCGATTTCGACCTTGGCCAAATGCAGCACGCTTGCGCTAGTCTCATTAGGCGTCTTGACATGATGAGAACCGTCTTCATTGCATACAAAGATTCATTCCTGCAAGCCGTGCTAATGAATCTGGATTTAGATGTTGGTGTGTTTGAAACCGCGACGAGTAGCTTGGATGGATACACTTTGGAGTTGAAGAAGCAAGATTTGCTCTGCAATCTGCAGTTCGGAAAATCACTCACAAAGATTTGCGTCATTCGTCAGACACGAGAGCAGAAGTATCGTATTGTAATACGCCTATCTCATGCACAGTATGACGGCACGGCGCTCGCCAAGATGTGGGCTGCCTTTGAAGCCGCATACAAGTCGGCTCCTCCAGGCGACGCGAAAACAAGTTTTTCGCACTACATGCACACTCTATCGCTCGTCGATAAGGAAAAGGCGACTGAATACTGGCGGACCATGCTCCGGGGAAGCACTCGAACACCCATCAAGCATCAGACAACTCACCGTCTCGGGTATGGACTCGGTCCGAACATTGTCAAGACTCTCCCAGCATCCAGCCTGCAATCCGAGGACTTTACCTTTGCTACCGTCCTAAAGGCCGCGTGGTCGTATGTCCTCGCAAAATATTCAGCCACCGAAGACGTTGTATTCGGCAACCTTGTACACGGTCGCAACCAGCCAGGCACACAAGACATCTTCGGCCCCTGCGTAAACATTGTCCCAGCCCGCGTCGTTTTCCAACAAGATTGGTCTGCCAGGGACCTCATTGCTACAGTCAATTCCCAGCAAGCGGCAAGCATGCCATTTGAGACAATGGGCTCCCGAGACATCATTCATAACTGCACAAGCTGGCCGAAATGGGCCTTTTTCAGCTCCGTCATTACACACCAGAACTACGAAGACCGCCAGACGGAAGAGTCCTCGGTCGATTTCGACAGCGCCGACCTGTCGACGGGCGACATTGACAGTGTCGAGGTCTACATCACCTCGACGCCGGGCGCAGACGGCACCGATATCGACTTTACCTTTACGGACAATGTCATCTCCCACAGCCTGGCGCAGCGGCTCGCGTCGGATCTGGCCGACACCATTATCCAGTTCTACAGGGCCATGGACGCAAAACTCCTGGCACCGCGCGACATTCGCAGCCTGCCGGCCTTGCTGCCCCTGCCGGCCGACCCTGAGGTCGCCTTGGCTCCGCCGACGGACGAGCAGATGGCGGCGCTGCGTGGCTGTCCTGCCAAGTTGAGGAATGCTCTCGGCACGGCGTGGAAAGATGCCCTCGGCCTGCGGACCGTGCCTGGCAACGAATCTACAGAGTCCTTTTTCGAACTAGGTGGCGACGGCGACAATGCCGGCCAATTGGCCGCTCACATGCAACGGCAGGGCTACAGGCTCAGAATTGAGGACGTTTTTGAGCACCCTACGTGGTTTGAACTCTTGCTTCACATGGCGAGGCAGTAGTTGGTCGGTTCTGACTAATTGGAGGACGTGGGATAGGAAAACAGAAAACGGATGAAGAAAAGAATGTGCTTCCTTAATCGTGGAATGCTTTAGTTGTATTTTTTGCCAGATGGTGTTTTTGTATTATTTCTCTTGGTATATACTTATGGATTACTGTTTCGTTGAACCAGATCATTTTCCGTTTCATAGTATTTGTGAATTGCGACGAACCTAGGAACCTGCACGGGCTCTACGTCACGCAGCTGTCTTTGCGCTTGCAAGTTATCAGCCTAGCGTCATCTTCAAATATCAACTTTTACACAATTCCTTCTTGTTTCTCGGCAGAGTCGGCAAAGTTGGCTGCTTTGCCGCTCTTCGAGTATACTGGGCAATTACTCATCGCCCAACTCGCTGGATCATCGTCATTCAAGACAGGCCTGGAGGCCCAAACTCGCACCGGTATCCGGGTACGACGACACCGCTTCCGCAGGGACAGGGCCAACGCGGCGCAGGGCCTACGGGGCCGCGCAAACACCGAGTGGGGCCGGCGGCGGAGGTCACCAAAGCCCCAAGTCACCGGATTGTCTCTTCACGCCAACCTTGAAAACGCCGTATACTAAGCGTCTGGCGGATAGATACTATGTTAAGGGGAGGCAGGGGCATGTGGGAGGGGGCACGACGGAGCCCCTCACAACGACTAGTCTCACGGGCAACTCTTGGCAGAACTTGAAGCATTATTACATCTATGGCATCCTCGAAGCGCTCGCAGTCGCACTACATCAACAGTCACCCTGCCAATTCTTACCAATCCATTCGCTTAGCTTATACGTCAGCGTGCCGTCCATGTACACCTTGGCATCATCAGCGGTATAGTCGCCGCCGGCAAACTTCAATGCCGGGATGATCCAGGGCTGAATAAAATCGATATAGACCAAGTCAACCGTCTCGGGGTCCCCTTTCTCGGGGAAATTAATCTCTGATTGGATACAATTAGGAGTGTTATAGAACGGAATGGCTTCGTGAACGGTATCATCGCCATCTGTGCCAATGTCGTCTTTGGTGGTGTAGCCGCGAATCAGATCTGGTTTTGCGTCGCGTAGTTCAAGCCTCTCGTCCTCAGCCTGATGCGCATCAGCTGGCGATTGGCCGTGTCCGGATGGGAACATGACTTCGGGAATCGCCATAAACTTGGTTTCGGCGCCGTGTGTGCTCAAGATCTTGTCTGCGCCATTCAAAAGGGTGAGAACCTTGCTGGCGATGTTATATGGCACGTCAGGCACGTAATTGAAGCCGCTCGTGAACGGAGAGACAATGTACGTTGAGTCGCGGGTAAATGGGCCTTTGAAAATGTCAAACCGGATGCCTCCCGTGTTGAGGATCGCGAGGCGAGGCTTGTCCTTGCGCTTCGTGTTGACCACGACGTCGGGGAACACTTCGTCTTGAATCCAAGAGTAAATGCTTGCGTTGTTGGGATACTGGACACGGCTTGCCCACAGATCTTTCGGAGCACAACCGTAACGGTGGTCGAGATTCAACGTCTTGCGTGCGCGTGCAATCTGTTTGGATACACGCTTGCCGTCGTCGGTGGGGAAAGTTGTCTGGTTGAGTCCAGTATGATAGTACATGCCAAGAAGGTTCGTGTCAATGTACTTGCGGCTGAACTTGAGTGATGCTGCAGCTGAGACGTCATCGGCCGACTGTTTTTGTATGCCATCAATGGACATGAAACCAACAGTTTCGAAATATCGTCCCGAGGCCATGGCAAATGCTTGCGAGTCGTAGCTCAAGGCGTCTCGCACATGAGCATGACCACCAAAAAATACGATTGGGATGTGCCAGTTCTGTTTTCGCAGAGCCGTGAAGATGGTGCGGAATTCCGTCATGCGCAAGCCGACATGGCCCACCACAACAAAAAGATCGGGCTTCTCGCGAATGGCGTCTTGGAACCATTTCTCCTTGATGGTTTCGGCAACAGGCTGCACCACAGTATTGTTGGCGTTTCCGGTAAAGTCAAACAGGAAGCCAAACGCCAAAATCTCGAGTCCCTTGTTCTTGGTTTTGAATTTGCGGTATCGCTGTGCCAAGGGTTTGCGTTGGCCCGTCGCGCGATCAACGTAATCGACATTTGAAGCCACATATTTATCCCCGAATTTGGGGACGGTTGTGTTGGCTTCGTAATCGGCCGTGCTAGCCTGGTACAGCTCATGGTTGCCGACGCAGATCAGGTCGACATGGTGTTCGGCCCAAGCGTCGTAGTAGAATAGACCCTTGGGGGTCGATGCATCGTAGAGGCCATTCCCCTCAACGCGGTCGCCTGAATCGATGAGGAGTAGATCGCTTCCGGTATCGTCGGCGCGCTTCTTCATGTGTTGGGAGAATGAAATGTAGTCACCCCAGTCGGCTGAGTATTGGGGTCTTGCTCCGTCAGCACTGTGTTTAGCATGGCCCAGTGGTTTATTCCAAGAGAAGAAAGTGAACTCACTCTAGTAAATGGCCGCTCAGCCAGCCATGTGTATCGGTCGTGTGCAAAAAGTTGAGCTGTCCCCAGGCCAGGTCACGCATCGGCGCGGCAACGGGCTGTACAGCTCCCGGCTGCGCACCGTGGGCAACACGGCAGACGAGGGCGATGGTGGCGCCGAAAATCCAGCTTGGCGCCATGGCGGCGTTGTTGATATGCGTCAATCAGTTGGGCCTCATGAACCTCGCGGGTACGAAGCCGGAGGTGATGATGCTGGTTGAGGGAAGATGCGGCCGAAGCTGACGAAGCGCTCAGCTTGGGATTGTCGAGGGCCAAGCAACAGGTGACGATTGAGGTGACAAGCTAGACTGCGCGGCCATCAGGGTGTCCCATGTCACTATCTGGCCCATTGATGTCACCCGTGTGCACACCGTGCCGTCGCCAGGCACCAGCCAGCCATTTGACTCGGCACGTGAGCCACCGGGAGCAGTCACTGGTCCGCAAAGCGCACTGGCGTCAACATGCTCTTGCGCCTCGGGTGAGGCGTCATGCCGAAGTAACCTACCCTATAGAAGAATCACCAACAGTAGTCAGTCATGTTGCAACATGCTCTGGCATAGTGATACATTTAGCAGTCTACGCGCGCTTCAACGAACAAGTGGCGAATAATTCTATTTCCTGCTTCCTTACCATGACATTTTTCTCCAATATGCTGTAGCACACTTCACCCAACAGTGTCTCTGCATTGCAATATCTACATCAACGCAAAGTCGCGCCATTAATTATACCATTCCTTAAAATGACACAACATCTCATCTAATGAAGTTCATAGAAAAAGGTCACCCGATTGTAACCCGCTTTAAAAATCTCTACGAACCTTCAGCTACCCACAGACCCAACGCTGACCTTTATTATAGAATAATATCATCGGCCAACTTCATCTTCCATTGCCGTCTCCAAGACTATTGGTCAATCATCTTCATACTAATGTCCCAATGACAGTCCCATACCGTTCTACATGCGGGTCTCGAGGAAATAAACGCGGGTTTAGTCGGCCCTGTCTACAATTGGCAAAAATCCCCTCGCCTCAGAGACCAAGTCATTCTTGTAGGTGGAGATTTATGGGGCTTTTGAAGATGTCGCCATTTTCAAAGTAATGAAGACATTCGGTGGGGCTTTGTTTGTGAGCAGTTGGGATCAAGTTATATAGTAGTCGGATGCGCGTAATAATTTTTACTCCGAGTTGGCTATAATTCAGGTTCATCCCGAGGAAAACCGTGGTGCTAGAAATCTACAATGGCGTCGACGTCTGCTTCTGCGCAGGCAAAAGCACCACTCACCACGACCACACCTGCACAAGATGTACGAGTAAAGCGAACCTGGTATCGGACAACACTATTCAATGCCTTTGTTATTGGAATGGTGGGCTTTTTGGCCCCGGGTCTTTGGAATGCCATGTCCGCCCTTGGCGCCGGCGGTGCTCAGGAACCGTTTCTTGTCAACGCCGCAAACGCACTGGTGTTTGGACTCATGGGCATCCTGTGTTTGATAGGCGGGCCCATTGCTAATCGCATCGGTCTCGATTGGACATTGTTCCTCGGGGCAGTGGGCTATCCCATCTATTCGGCTGGACTGTACACGAACAACCGCTATGGAAACGAATGGCTCGTTCTTGTTGGAGCCGTCACCTGCGGCCTCTCGGCTGGTCTTTTCTGGGCGTCGGAAGGCGCTGTTGCATTGGGCTATCCTGAGCCCACGAAACGAGGAAAATACATGAATATTTGGCTATGGTTTCGTACCGGAGGCCCGTTGCTTGGGGGTGCTATTGTCCTGGCGTTAAACCACGATGCTTCTGCCAAGAAGAAGGGCAAGATTGATGCGCAGACGTACCTTGTTTTCGTTGCACTGCAATGTGTTGCCGCACCCGTTGCACTGTTGCTGTCATCGCCAGAGACCGTCCAACGAAGCGATGGGAGCAAAGTCATTGTCAAAGCCGAGAAGAGCCTCAAGGAGGAATTCAAGAGCCTATGGAAGCTGACCATGCGAAAGGATCTGCTCCTTTTACTTCCCATCTTTTGGGCTGCCTACTTCAACCAGTACAGTGGCAACTTCCAGACCTACTACTTTGGTGTGAGGGCTCGTGCTCTTATCGGCTTCGTGAGCAACTTCGGCACCCTGTTAAGCTCACAGCTTATGAGCTGGTTTCTCGATTACGATGGCATTCGAGTGAAGCGACGAATCGAGCTCGGCTTTTATTACGTCGTTGTATGGCACGTCATTGCCTGGGTCTACGGCTGGGTCATTCAGGAAAAGTACACTGCCAACCCGCCAGTCTGGGACTGGGAAGACGCCGGCTTCGTACAAGGCTTCTTCGTCCTGCTGCTGTGGGACTTTGCCAGGCAGTCGCTACAGAACTGGCTATATTACTTCCTGGCAACCAAGACCGATAACATCTCTGAACTGAGTCGATTCTCCGGCATTCTGAGAGGCCAGGAGAGTTTTGCCCAGGCCATCAGCTATGGGCTCAACACGAGAGAGTGGAAAGGTGGAAGAGTGCCATTGGCCGTCAACACTATTCTGTTGGGTAAGTGATGCTCATTTATGCCACGTTTACATCTGACGTCGATTGGCTGACATGCTGCTGCGAAGGATTATCGGTTTACCCGACATGGCTGGCTGTAAGAGACCACGTCCCCGTCGAGCACGGCGAGCCAGACAGCAGTTCCCAGAGCGACGAGACCTCAGGCCGAATGAAGGTCAGTGTTGATATTGAAAGGGGATCTTAGAGCTTGAATCATTCATTTCCGCCACGTCGTATTATCACCATGAGCGGTCTATGTCGCCGCCAATAGTATCGATCCTGTTTTGGGTGTCGACTAATATGTATCATGGGACAAAGATAAGAATAGAACTATACCCCAGGATATCAGTGTTTTTGAACACTATTCGTTCCATCAATCATATCGTGAGGTCGGGCTAGTTCCAGTACGCGGTAAGTGGGGGCCAAATTCACCAAGAGTGATCTCGTGTTCCTTCTGGGTTGCAATCAGCCCTATGGAATTGACCCCTGAATGGATGGAGGAACCCCGAGGGCGTGTGCTCAGACCTGCCTGCCCTTGTCCCATGACGGCCGGTGTAGAATATGTATGTATACAAGAGGAATTCCTGTTGAGCCGAAACAAGCATCGCTCAAGTTCTGGCTGCGCCGGGCGCATGCCGTTCAACGCATGCAAAGTCCCCTCATATTCTGCGACAGGGAAGGGACAGTTTGAGTGACCTCATTGCGCAAGGTAGATATAATGTGGATGAATGACAAGATGACCAGCCTAAGCCGGCCACATATGGACGGATAATTTTGAACGAGTAACTGTCTTCAGTGTACCCTGACTGTAGGCCTCTATTTGCGCCAACATAGTCCGTAAGTCGAGTAGCGCTAAAATTATATAGGTAAGTCCAGCCACAAGGCTGAATTTGTCCCAGCGCCCTCCCCATGCTGAAGGGCTGGGATTAACAAGGCATATGGCAGATCGAGCCTGGGCGAAGATCAGGTACGAACGAGAGTTAGAGCTTTAGGCATGATGGCAGCCCAATCGATAGGTCACAACCTATAACCTAGGATTCAGATGATTGGGAATCCTCATCACAATCTTCGAACGCACGCTGAAAAAAGGGTCTTCGTTTTCCTTCTTTGGATGTGGCGGTCGTTGGTGTTCTGGAGGAGGGGCTGGCGGTTCCCATTCGGGACAAAACTGTGCATCTCTTGACGTTGGGCGATGGTGAGGAGTGGCCTAAAGTTCAGAGCAATGCAACGGCAGGCAACGGCAGGCATTGGAAGCACCCCTCGACGCTGAAGCTGAAAGCTGGGTCCACAATTCTCAGAATGAGGCTTGAAATGAGGGTATCATGTATAGGTACGTTGTGAAGAGGGACCGCGGTGGTAACAATAAATAAACAAGGGTGAAAAGTCGCAGTCTTGTGGCTGGAAACCGATCGGTTCAATGTCCGATGATGTCGCCTGTAGGCTGTGAGTTTAGTATGACAAGTTCGTAAGCATCGGATTCACGGCGAACCGGACCCAGGCTGAGAGGGTCGGGCTAGAAAGGGCAAAATGCCGCGAAGTCATGGTAAGAGACTGTGTCCGGTGCCAACATCCCTGCATCTTGACAGCCACCCCACCTTGATCAAGTCTTGTCTTGCGCGCGTGTCTCGCGGTACGAAATACGGTCGAGTGGGACGCCACAGGTAAGGGTGTGTAGAAATACACCTGTCCAGAGAGAACGAGTTTGGTGGTGTCTTGGGGACTTGCAGATCCACTGTCTGAATTCCATATAGAGTACCCTAGCACACCCTGTGGCTTACCAGGAGCTTATAAGTGAGGGCTTCCATAACGCTTTCCACAATCGTGAAAGGAAATTGAGAGACACTTTGTCTGCTTTTCTTGGGCCAGACCGCTGGTTGCCAATGTCGCCTCCTGTGACTGAATACTGACGACGGCCACGCTTGGCAGCATTGCTACATAAGCCTCGCGTTTTCGCTCCCCTTTCTGACTCAACGGTAGCAGTTTGATGGACGGGCGGCTTTGGGAAAAGCACATAAATAGACATGTACAGTCCGACTCCTCCGACAACTTATCCAAGCCAAGTGATTCGACTTGGACATTATCAGTCCCCGTACAATATGCCGACGAGCCAAGGTGAGCGAATCCCTAGGTCATGGGCGATGCGGCTTCATTCTGAGCCTCAATTCAATGAAAAGCATGGAGTCCACGTGTCTTCCAAAGCAGAGGCCTTTTCTGGCCTGGAGGAACAGCGGAGCTGATTTTCCGCAGTGCCCCCTGGCAAGACTGCCGTAACGGCAAGGTCGGAGGAAGAGTGCTACGACTTGTTCGTCAAGGAGATATCATCCATTCCGGATCGAGAGGTTCCAGGCACTCAAAACGGGGAAAGCGGCACCGAACAAAACCAAGCAGGACCTATTCCTCGTAAGTATAATGCAGACAACATGACATTTTGCTGAACCTATCGACTGACAAAGCATTAGAACTGAGCCGGGGAACAACCCCAGGCACGTCAACCAACGTGATGATTGCGAAGACCATTAGAGCAGCCATGGCTGGCATTCGACCTGGTTCCTGAGATAAAAGCCCGAAAGTAAGAGTTGATGGTATCCGAGAAGTTCCTGTGCGGACAATCTTGGAGAGGCACTGATGGCTGTGGATGCTGTTGCTCAGTTGCCAACCCAACTCCAGCCGGGCCTTCACGACGTCTGGCAATCATGTCGGAATATCTGTTTCAAGTCGATAGCGCATCGTCTAATGAGGTTTGTGGTGGCAATCCATCATGTCTGATGACTTCTGATGGACGCGTTCCACAAAGGTCATACTGGACGGAGTCGTACAGTGGCCTTGACAGGTGGTGTCCAGACACTATGCGCAGTGCGCAGGTGTCATGGCAAAAACAGCCAGATGCCCTTAGACCGCCAGTTAGATGAGCATTCCCTGGGTGATTTTCCGGGTTGGAGATATTCGTGTTAGGGGGTTCTTCTTGTAACTGGATCAGCGAACTGCATGTACGCATTTCGAGATTTCCGAAGGAGTGGAGGTCTGGAAGGAACTGAATGTCAACTGTATGTTGAGACACGAAGTAGTGGTGTCTGGGGGGCAGGTGCCATGAATTGATGGGTACCGAGTACGTAGTAGCATTGTTGGAGATACGTGGCTAGGTGTGGTCGTCTTCCATGGCTTAGGTACAGAAAGCGAGCATTTGAGCAGATGGTCTGGTTGATTTTGAAGCCCGTGCCCTTTTTTTTTTTTTGACCCAGCATGCCTTGCTGTCTGCCATGGTTCAGACTCTAGATTCTAGAACGTGGTGCCTGCGGATGACAGTTGTGGCAGGAACCACTAGTAGTTGAGCTTGCCCCGCTTGGCTCCAGCCGTCTCGCCAAGGTTTTCGCCGGATTTCCACTGGGGGCCGCAGAGTGGGCGTGGAATCCATCATGTGCAGGTTTTTCCCCCACGGCGCCGCAAGCGAGTCTTTCATCATCACTGCATCTTCCTTCGTGCGACGCATTCCCCTACTTCTTTTAACGCCCGAGCGTTTGCGTTTGCGTTTACGTCCCTGCGCCTGTTGAAGGAACTTGGTCCAAGTTCTGACGACTAGTTACCACGCAGCCGAACTCCCCTGCCATACCGCGTCCACTTCGCAGCCTATGTCGGCGCTCGTGTACGACACCAATCAACCCCTCTGCACCGCGGCGCATCATCGTATGTGCCGTCCACTGCAATAGGACACCCAGCAGGCGACTTGAAGTCTTTGCGCTTGCTGCAAACCGGAGACGAAGAAAGACTTAGATCTAGCACCACAGACGTGCTGTCGACATTGTGAATGGGCCGGGCAGACAATCACTCTCCCATTCTTCAATCCATCTTGCGCCTGTTCTCGGCGAAATTCAACCACGGCTACGAGCCAGTCGATACCCAGGATCCCGACGGACAAGAACCAACACCAGGAGCAAGAATCATGACCACCATAAACGACCACCCAGAAAACATGGCCCCCAACAAGAGCGGCCTTACCGCCCACTCTGCGAGAGCCTGGTCTGGCCACGCCGATGACCCCTTCTCTGACCGTGGCTCTGGAGCCGCCCGAGATGGCGAACCCTCCCCCGAGACTGCTGAGGCCACCCAGGGTCTGTACATCCTCGAGTCGAAATCGGTTCACTGGTGGAGCTACCTGGCCACGGCCGATTTTTGGATTGTCGTTGCCATCGGGCAGGTCCTAGCCTTGTGTATAACGGCCACCAACACATTTACCAGCTTTCTGCAACAGGAGAATTTCAGTGCACCAGCGTTCCAAACCCTCTTCAATTACGTGTTTCTCGCAATAATCTACAACAGCATTTTCCTCCTTCGCGATGGCCCTCGAGCTTGGGCTCGAGTTGCATACCGCGATGGGTGGAAGTACCTCATAATGGCGTTTCTCGACGTAGAAGGAAATTACTTCACCGTTTTGGCTTACGAGTACACCAACATCTTGTCCGCGCAGCTGTTGAACTTTTGGTCCATTGTTTGTGTGGTCATTATCTCATTCGTGCTTCTCAAAGTCCGCTATAAGCCGTTCCAAATCATTGGCATCTTGGTCTGCTGTGGCGGCATGGGTATCCTGCTAGGATCCGACTACATTGTTCAGCGAGACAGCGGTACTTCTGGCGGCGGATCCAAACTCAAGGGTGACTTGTTCGGTCTGTTGGGCGCCACGCTCTATGGAACAAGCAACGTGCTCGAAGAATGGCTGGTGTCCAAAGCCCCCATGCACCACGTGTTGGCCTTTATGGGCCTCTTGGGCATGATCATTAACGGAGTCCAAGCTGCCATATTTGATCGCGACACCATTGCCGGCTCAGCATGGAGCGGAAAAGTCGGAGGCTACCTCGTCGGGTATACCCTCTGCCTCACTCTCTTCTACACGCTGGCGCCGCTCATTCTCCGCATGGGAAGCGCAGCCTTTTTCGACATCTCGCTCCTGACTGCCAACTTCTGGGGCGTGATTATCGGGATCCACGTGTTCGGACTGAGCATCCACTTCATGTACCCCATTGCCTTTGTGTGCATCATTATCGGCTTGACCATTTACTTCCTCTCGGGCAGTGTCTTGGGTGACTCCAAGAAGCCCTGGCTGGGGGATAACCAGGAGGCCGGCGTCGCGGGAATCGGCACCGCCAAGCTCAGGGCCATCAACGCAGCGCGCATGGCGTCCGTCGAGGCCGAGTACGGCGCCGCTCCTCCCAAGACCCAGATGAGCGCCAGGATTCGTGCTATTTTCGGCAAGACGATGTAGAACCCTACGCCTGACTGTTGAGCGTTGCAGCGTTTTCTAGACATGGATATCGCGTAACCCCTCTAAACCGAAGATTAGACATGTTGAATACGTTGTCATTTACCAGTTTCAAATAGACGGAATAAAACTATTCAACACCCAGATTCTGCCAATCGTAGTTGCAGCTGCCAAATCAGTTGTTTGGAGTTTTCTAACGTGCCTTCAAAAAAACCGTTGATACTAAATAATGTGAGAGGGTCAAGGCCACCCATTTATTGATGGTATCACCCACAAGCTCCCGTCTGTATATCTCGCCGCCGAGAAAACCTCCTCACAAGCCTCTGCGACAGATAATGGGGATGCCGCCTGTTGGCCTGTGCCAGATTCTGGACATGTGCGTCGCAGCAGTAAACAGCACTGCCAATGCAGATACGACTCGATGGAGTGGGATATCGTGACAAAGGCCCGGCGGCGCATTGGACTTCCTCGGATAATTTGACCAGTGCAATAGAGATTGGATATACTTTGCCAGTCTTCTATCCGTGTACTGCATCCTCAACCAGCGACCACGACGTGCCTCCGTGGTAATGGTATGAGCTATTCAAGCAGCAAGGGACATTAGCCTTGACAAGGCCTTAGTTGACAGTGTCCATTCGGCGACATGGGAAGTTGAGATGCAGAAGAGGGTGTGGTGGACGTTATTTACAGGGGATGGGTAGGATCCCCGATGGCAGGCTGTTGTCTGACGACTAACAGTTCCAGATTCTCTGCTATGGTATCAGGACACGCCCCTACAACCAGAACAGAGGACACGAGCGTCAACGAGCAGCTCGATATTGACGACAGCTCAACACAGTCAATGGACTTTCGGTCTGTTGAAATCCGAGAAGACGAGTCGGTCAGACCAGTTACCAAGTACTAATTCCACAGGTACAGAACGTTGCCACGAGACTGCAGGCTCAAAATCCTATATCTTATCTTGGTTTTGGCGATGAAATGCGGAATATATACGAAGAACTTGACAAAATACGGGCATCCCTGGACTAGAGTTGTGTCTGGATTTGTATAGCAAAGTTGGCTTCAGTGAAGAGGGCAATGCAGCTGGTCGCATATTTCGGCTGCAGGCGCTGACGTTACGAATATTATGCGAACAAATATAGAATTGATTGGTTTCGGCTCATGTGCCGTCGTCTGCAGAATGTTAGGCAACCATTTGAACACATGCCAACTTTGGTGTGGCGATATGGTGCGAAATAAGGATTGGCCATCAGTATACAATGAAAATGAGGCGAACTGGAGGAGGGAAAGTTGGCAAACTCACCCGACACAAAGGTCCTCTTGTCCCACGCCGACGTTGCGTTTCCATGAGTCATCGGCTCAGGCAGCGCGGACATATCTTTTCTAAGACAAATATAGTACGTACTTGTTGTGTGAAGTATTCAATGATTGCCCGCATTTTCTGGTGCAGGGTAATGTGTGTGCATATTCGGGTACCTGGCCTTGGGGCTGAAGAGATCTCTGGTTCGTGGGGCGTCCTCAAACAGATTGGAGGTCAGCTGGCAAGGGCGGGGGCGGAAATACGACAGGCAGAAAGTGTCAGGTCAGAGGAAAAGGACCAGAGTTCTAAAAGTTCTAGTTCCATGCACTGTGGAATGATTGCCGTATCCCGTATCCGTATACAAGGCAGCTATTGTACCAGGCCCGACAGCTTGCGTAGCCTGAGCGTGGTGCTAGTATTTCGATTCCAACAGAAGAAAAGCCAGGAGTGAGGAGTTGCCGAGTCACATAGCCACTAAAGCTCATAGTGATATTGAGCTTTCTCGGAAGCTGTGGAGAGCTAGTTCGCTGCAGGTCGGTCCTGGGAGTTTTCTTCATTGTTCCGTATTGCTAGAGAGGGAGACAATAATGATTATGTGAGTGACACCAGGTGGGTCGAATCGTGGTCACAAAACGCTGAGCTATTCGCAGTCGGACACCACAAGCGGCAGTTTCAGAGTGGAGTGAGACCAACTAGCGTAGGACCCTTCATTTGTCCCAGACCCTTGACTTGGTTGACACGATGCCAACTTGACAGGAGCAGTGCCGGCGCAAGCAAAGCAGCTAACAATAGAAGGCCTTGTTGAGAGCCCAGGCTCAGCTCAGATGCTTTAAAGCCGACCCTTTCGTATTACTTGGCCCTCCAGGCCGCAGTCAATTAGGGTTAGGGAGCGTCAGACCCCGGGCAGGCATTTCAAAAAACGCCACACACACCCCCGGTTGAGAATTGAGGAGACATCGTCTGGCTGCGACATCAATCTGCGATGTCTCCTTCGGACGACGGCTGACAAGCGGCTGTGGGCCTAGTCGTGTGCCAATGGCAAAGCTCTTTGACCAAAGTTCACGAACAGGCGGGATGTGGGCGGGTGAGTATTTGAAGGCCGCATGCTCCTCTCTCGGACTTGTCGAAATCGTCCAGACAAGCACTCGATACCCTGGGTCGCGTACAAGTTGGATGGAGACGGCTTCTTGATTTGTCGCTCCTGGCTTCCGCCGCATCTCCCAAAAGCCTTGTGTCACAAAGAACAATCTGAACCACGATCCTCCGGATGGGGTATTCGCGAGGCCGACTCAGCCCCAGAACTAGTCCCAGAAACGGTCTGGTTGGTTTTGGCAGTTGATCGTGGTCCTGCCTTCTTTCGGCTGTCGCCCGTCGATCCTTCCTCTCCAGACTCTCTCCCAACTCGCCCTCCACTTCTTCTTTCTCCCCACTCCACGCGCTCCTTCCTCTTGTCTCTTCCGCTCGACACCCGCCCACCTTTTTACCTTGCCGCTGCCCACTCGAGCCCTCAATCCTACATTCATCCACATTTGTGACATTCCGCACTCGACGACACCCAGCGTTGCAACTCTGTCTGCTGCTGGGTCTGCAATTTGAACGTCCGGGCATCAAGACTGGCTGCTTTGCCGTTCATATCCGCGGCTGCCGTGGATGCGCGCGCCGTTGCTAGCGGTGACTCGAACTTGTCGCTAACCACCATCCCGATAACATCCAAGCACGGCGCGACGGGTCTCGCTGCATCTTGGTGAAGGTTCTTGCATCGCCCACACAGGGTTATTTCTTGAACGCTGTTGGCGCAAACTCGTGCTCATTGAGAAATTCGTCACCTGCCTGTGCCTGCATCCCTTTTCCAAATAATACTTGGCAACCTTCGCCTGACCCACTGTCGTTAATGGCTATTCTGTCAATGCAAGGTTAGCCGTTGCAAAGGACGGACCATTGCCCACGGGGCCACATCACAGCGGCACCAACCTTTATTTCCCTCAGCAACGAAAGAAAGATATATCTGCCCGCGCGGTCGATTTTCTCTCAGCCGCGGGTGTCTCAAAGACTACATAAGACAATGCTAAGGCCTGTCTCGGTGCCGAGACAGCCTTGAATCCCGTGGCTTAACGGCAAGACACGGCAAGCCCATTGAAGCGACTGAAGAGACAATTCTCGCTTTCCTACGCCTCTCTGTTATCTCGGACGATTCGGCATCATGCATAGGACAACTACCGAAGGCGCAGCTTCTAGCTCGGGAGGATCATCCAAAAAATGGCGGCTACCAAGGCCTTTGCGAACGAAGAAGAGTAAACTTGGCAAGGATGATAAGGGAAGAACGGTACGTGGATGCTCTTCGGACTGCATTGAAACAATGCATTTATTATAAATTGAGCACTATTAGGCGACTGCGGAGGCCCAAAATGCCGGAGCAAGCTAACTAATTTGTTTCTACAGCCCGGGTCTAGTGAATTTGACCACATTCACTCGTCATCACATCTTCGATCGGACTCAAGTTCCATGCACGTCATGCACGAGATGCAAGAAAATAACTACAGGCAGTTGCAGATCTTAATACAGCGAATGCGTTCGGCGCCTTCCGGCCCAAACCATGTCGATTCCGCTTATAGAGAGTTTGAGAAAATCCGGGAACCTTGCGCGACGCTTTGTTATGGTATTTTACAGGACGAATTAAGGCCGGCTAAGGCAATGTCGACTACCACTGAGACAACGACTCGACGAGAATCTTCGTTTGACTCTCCTCGTAGCCCCGGGGCCACTATATTTGACCAAAGAAGCTCTTTTAGCGGCCGCAGCCTAACTGAAGTGGTTTCGGGGAACACCACAAAGCCTAGTCCAGCTAATGAGTTGTGCCTAAATGCTGTCAGAGACTGGAAAACTTGTCTGGAAACTTTATGCGAAGCCTTCAAAGTCAGCTTGGCCGACACTTATAAAAGCTACGAGCGTGATGCGACCCCGGAAATGGTCGATTTGCTTTTCACAAGTCGGAAGTTTCGCCGAGAAGCAGTGCATCGCATGAGAAATGCCAGCGTCACTAGGCTCCTCTCTGCTGATCCCCAATTTGTACGTGCTGATTTCCTGTTAGCCCGCGATGTGTTTTTGCCATCATGCTAACTTGACGCCCTGCCAGTTTCCCAGATACGAGATCCGTTTCAGAAATTATGAAAGGGTTAAGAAAGAAGCGACCGAAGTTCGGCAGCTTCTTCAATCTGGCGAATCGGGAATTTCACCCTCAAGAGAGGTTCATGAATTCTTGATCGCACAACGGGGAGACGCCGTGCTTGAATTCGCGAATATTGGAAACGAAGCGTCACACAATGACCCGGTTTTACGCTTTCGTGTCTCATCTTACATGCTTTCTGAGACATCCCCCATCTTTGCACGCATGTTCTCGGGCCCCGCAAACAGCATGCTGTTGCACGAAGCTGAAGACATCACACCTCACATACCGCCGTCTCCTGTGCCCTACGTATGCAAGGATGGGTCTGAGGCAAAACTATATCGCATGCCACAACACGAATTGAACCGACATCAGTCCCTGGAGATCTTGCTGCATGCGGCACACATGCACAACGAATTAATCCCGAGAGAGGTCGGTTTCGATCAGTTTGTCGCCATTGCAGATTGCTCAATGAGATACAAGAGTACATCGCCGCTGGAAATGGTGGTTGAGCACAGATGGCTCCCTCGATGGATGCATAGAGGTGCTGATGACATGCCCGATGGAGTCTTGGTCATCAGTTATGCCTTCGGCTGCAGACAACTCTTTACTCGAATGTCCAAGAGTGCCATTTTGAATTTGCTCGATGAAAAAGACTTGCAAAGCAAGCCCTGGCCGCAGAAAATCAAGGACAAGATTTGGGCAGTTAGATGTGCCAAGTTGGCTCAGATTTATTCTTGCTGTACCAACGCCATTCAAGAACATATCCGCCAGCCTAACCGAGATTCACCCAGAGAGACGTACGCGCATCCTCAGGCGGAGGCGGTGACAAGCTTACAGACTGCTACTGCTGCACCCCCGGCTTACGCGGCCACCTTGACGAGTCCGCCAAGATGTCCCAAGGGAAGTCATAGCTGCGATGCCTCCAATCTCGGGTGGATGATGCTCGTGTTTAATCAGATGAATTTGCTGCCGCAAATTCTGCAACCCTCTGTTCTATCTCATATGCCAGAGTCTGAAGAGCCACCGAGAAGCCTGACCCAGCTGGTGGAAACTCTGAGGATGATGCCCAGCCCTGCGTCACCTGTTCATCGAGGTGGAGTTTGTGACCCAAGCCCGGCCTTCCGCGCGGCCATTGCCGACATATACAATAGTGTCACAGGTCTTACTCTTCATGATATTAGTGGAAAGAGCCATGGCTGGGCATTGTCAAAGCACCGGATGTTGGATCCACAAACAATTCCAGCAACCGGCTTGAGTCGCATGGCGGCCAGCAATGATAATTACTCCGTGGTGAATGAATTCCCTGACTCAATTCGGTTCCAGATTCTTCTTGAGATTGGTGACCTCAGTGATCTACATGCCGCGGCTCAGATCAACAAGGGTTTCTACGAAACGTACCAAACTCATGAATTGACCTTGATGCGTAATATCCTTCGTGCAGACAGATCGAGAACGGGCTTTGCCCTGGTTCCACAGCGCGCCGGAAACTCTGAGGATAAGATTCCAAAGGAGGTGTCAGATATGATCAAGCGCGAGGGGCCAATTGAGGGAGCAGACGCTGTTACGATTGGAACGGACGACTATGATTATTCGGATGAGGATGATGAGGACGATTTGGAGGTAATTGAAGGAACAGAGGCGCCTCCTAGAAACACCACACTCTCGAGTCCGCCTCTTACCATCGACCCGCCTGGATACACGGAGGATGAAAGACGTTCCTCTGAAGAGGCTGCCTCGCCAACCACGCCGCGACAAATAACTCTCGACATCCCAGCGCAATCTCAGCGTTCGCCAAGGAAACCGGATGAGACAGTTACCGTCGTTATCGAGGAACCATTGATGACTGATGAAGAGGCACATAGAATTTTGTGGCCCGACCCAATAGTATCTGAATCTCCGACCCCAATTAACCCCTCATCCCCTGGGGTGGAGGCAATGCATGAGAAGTTCCGAGTGGGTGATCCATCATTTGTCGTGGCATTAGAAGATAAGACGCTAGTTATCACTGGAGACAAGCAGCTACGAAGCGAGTTGGATCGAAGAATTGGCTTATCGAAGAAGGGACAAGACAGCAGGCCAAATAGTTCGGGGAATGCGTCTGGCGGTTGTGGGTCGAAGAGCTAGATTGCCCAGCTTCCCCTCGTTGGTCTTTATCTGGCGCGCATTTGATCCTTTAGTCACGAAGCGCATTCTGCTTTGGTTACATTCTGTACAATCTGCATGCATGCCGTTCTGTTTTCGAATTTTCACGTGTTGGATAAATTGGGCTCAGGCAGTTTACGAGGTGTTTGGCGGTTGGAGCAATTATACCCATGTGGCGTGAGGAGTTACGATGATATGAATGGGTCATATATGAGCAGCATGACTTGCATGTACACTGAGCGTACACTCGTTGATTCATGTTAATACTTTTTTAGTACTATCTTATGTGAAGACTATCTAGCACATGTCTTTTGTGTTGTAGAAAAGTCTGTTTCCATAGCCGCATGCACCAATTCCCCCAAATTCCCCAATCAATTCGAATATCATGGTATGGGAGTATAAATCCAAAGGATGCCATGCTAGCCTCTACCCGATAGCCCGTTCAATGGAGGCGTCAGAGCACTAGGATAATTTAAGACACTTGACTCTTCGCGTCACGACGCTTCCCTGAAAATCTCGAAACGCTACAATTCATCTCACAGCGATCCGGGCTGCCACGCCACGACTCTATACGGAATATACGCAAACATGGCTATCATGAGCAACTCAGTGACAAAATTTCACGTCAAATATACCCCATGTCATAATACGGCATATCAGCGATTAAGAGTCTACATCTTCTTGCCACAACCTCTCCCTAAGCCAGAGCCCCGCACAACACCGACAGCTTCTCCAAGGCCTCACAGTTTCCCGCATGTCTCCCTCCATTCAACACCGGGAAAATATCTCCCTCGCTCAAGACCAGCCAATTTCCATTCACACGACTATTTCATGCTCCCTCTCAAGACGTCGATACGTCAAAGCACCATTTCTCACCTGAATTGTCCACTTACTGCCGCCCTCTGAGTCCCGTATATGAATCGTCAAGTCTTCCTCAGTAGCCTCCGGTCCATCAATGCCTATCTTAACACCGTTCAGGCACCGCTCGGCACTTCCAAGACGATTCAACGGCGGTGAAAACGGCTTTTTCGGCGCAGCCGGATCTTTAAATCGCAGCTCCGGCGTCATCGTCAGATAAACGTTGCGCCAGGTGGCATTCTCGAATCCATAGCCCAGCTTCTCAAACACTGCGGCCAGTGCCCCCCCCGAGCCGTCTGGCCTGCTGTCTCCGCCTTGATAGAGCAGCTAGCATGCTTCCATGCAATCAGCAGTAGAACGCTAATAAAGGCTTTCCCTGTCTATTCCTAGGCATGCGCAATCCTCAACCTGCGTGGGCTTCACGGCTTGGTGGGGCATCCGGTCCAGCACCAATACTCCGTATATTTCCCAAACCGGATGCGATCTGCCAATCAGAGAAGCGCTTCTTCCGGTGATGATGCCGTTGCCCGGCGCCGACTTCAACCACCCCGCCATTCCGGGGTGTTGCATGAACCGTGATGCACTGTAATTAAACATACTGTCCATGATGTTTTGGTTCCAGAGTATATGGACCGTGTTAATACTTTCTCTCATTTTGCTAAAGCGAAACATGACTCCTCAAACAGAAGAACCAACCGTTGAGCATAAATGTTTGTATTCCTGTCTAGTGCGCGGTACATGCTTGTCGCTAATTTTTGGCAGACGGGGTTGGCTGTCGATAGTCCATTTTCCACTTTGGTGGCTGTATTCTGGCCGTCTTCACCGGCACCATAGTCTACAATCTTATGCAGTTGAACGGAGGCAAAGCCTCGCAGGTTGGAGATGGTTCGTCTCCCTGCTGCCCAGTGTTCTGTGTACCGTCCATCATCTGACGAAACATGTGCTAGGATCTTCATCTTGGAAGATATAATTATCTGTGCTGTCGACAATTGGCATACTTTTTAATAGTCAAGTTCCTTGATGAGGAGCTGGCCTGCCCTGGTCCTCGGTTCCTAACGTCGGATGAACTTGAAACGGCCATACGCCGCCTTGACTCTGACTGCGGTAATGACGGCGCCGAGCCTTTTTAATTGAGGAAACTTGTTGGGCCAGGCTCGAGATTTGGTGTTTTGCATTCCTCTTCTTGTACGCAAACGACACCCGTCACCAACTTTTCGAGTTTTGACACGGCATAAATGCAGCCTAGCTACTATGTTATCATATTCATTCGTCTGCTACCCGCCAATAGTTCTTCAGCAAAGTCTATGATTCAGCCTCGTCGAAACCCCGTGTTTAGGAATGCCGCTGTACATAGTTGCTGCGTTGTACATGTTCGCAGGATCCTGGTTTGGCAATTGACACTGGAAGCAAGCACTCATTATCCAGATTCCCTCTTTGGCATAATTGGCTTCCACATTATGGGATTCCATGAGGGATCTCTGCATCTTTCTGGCTGCTGCCGGAGTTAATGCCAATGTGCCAGCAATAATAGCGTGGCAGGTGAGCATCCTCTGGATCGTTTTGAGGCATTGACATGGCTGACTGTGCGCCATAGGCGAACCAGATTCATGGACAATGGCAAAGGGCCTTTTCCTCCAGCATGTTGACCGTATTCGTGAATATTAGCAGCATCGTCGGCAGTCTTATTTCTAAAGCCAAGACAAGCCAGGATACGCGCCTCGTTTCATAGCTTGTTTGACGCAATCGAGACACTTATCTTCGGTCGCCGTGGTATTTAGACAGACCTGTCTGTGAAGAATCAAAGTGAATTATATTCAGTGAGAAGCTTGAAAGCTGCACCGACTCTGTGATTGAAGACAGCCTAGCAAGCACGTCGCAGGCGGCACAAAGAACATCGCCCGCTCAACCCTCCCCCCAGATGAACAGATCTCTTTCAGCACATCTCCAACACACCACGGAAAGAAGCTCACGCAGTGAAAGGCATGATTAGACAAGCTCTGGTTCAGAGCCGGCCATCAGTCGCGACTATAAAGCTCTGCTCTCAGACGCTGATGTCTCCTTCCCTTGAGACCCATCACAATCCAGCACTCGACAATCTCAACACTCGACAGTCTTAACACTCGACAATCTCAACCAACACTCGAACTCTTCAAGAATTATCTTTACCAAACATGGCCGATCCTGCTGCCAAGATGCCCGATGCAAGCGATGCAAGCAATGCAAGCGACTGCGGCTCCAGCAGCCAAAACGAATCCGGCCCCGTCATTTGCGACAAATTGATCAACCACAGTTGGTTCGGAGGACCAGGGTATAAGGATAAACCTTGCCCTTATTGCAAAAAGACTGCTGAGGGCTCAAGCAAAGAGTAAGAACCCAGGCGACTGTTCTTGACAGCGAAGACTGACAGGAAGATGTAGGAGTCCGCAGAAGTGACCTTACCCCCGAGACAAGGCGGAGTGGTCGCACAATCGAGCAAAAGAAACTTATCCAACGCTTTCAAAGATTTCCATCAATCGGATGTTCTTTCATCTCTGCATCGATGGCGGCCGGCAACAAGGAAACGGGGGTCGGGTGAAGGGGTCAATGTTCATGTACGGCATTGAAAGGGGAGAGACTGAGGACGATGTTATGGGGAGAAGGTTCATTTCAATTCTGGAGCTTGATTTATTAAGCTAGTTTTTTGTGCCTCATGAGGCCTATTTGAGATTTGTTTGTTATTGGAAGATGCAGGATGTGCCTTACTTGGGCGCTACATGCGCAGCTTTGTTCACAGCAGCGAAGGGTCATTCGGGGTGTTTGTAAGGAGATTATTTACGACGTTTCTGAATTCCAAATAGGCGGTTTTGCTCTTCACTTGTTTTCTAGACTATGCTTGAGTCATTGACGGGTAGTACGCGATCGTATGGACTGAATGACATTGCCTGAAGTGAATGACAATGGCCGAAGTAAATGGTTGGGCATTTGATCCATAGTTCTTGTCAGCAATTGGTCTCGGCGCATGTTCCAATCACATCGCAGTAAGGTCGCATCAGGACAAGATCCAGTCATTCGTTTCACTCAGTCGCTCTGAGTCTGAACTGATGTTCGGATCGTATAATAGTAGTATCACTCCAAGGTAGCAACGATTTCAGAAAGGAATATAACCAACATCACTGAGATGTCCCCTACAAATTACATTTATTTAACAAATTGGGCCTCCCCTACGTGAAAAGTGAATTGCTCGCCGGGCTTACCCTTTTTGCTAGGGACGCTTAGTTTTTTATGACTTATACAAGTAAATATTTATAATAAAATTTATTTATTTATAGCTTAATATATAAGCGCACTTAGCAAAAAGAGCAAGCCCGCCGAGCAATTTATCGTGAAAAAGGTCAACTGAGTAATTATCCTTGAATGATGGACATCACTGACCGGTACTAAGAGATAAAGGACATCTAGCCGGTCTGTTATGCATTGATGACCACCCGGGAAAGCACCCAACTCCGGAGTAGTTGTACATCTTAACGTGGTCTCGCTACAAACCTCTCCGCAAGGCCATGAGAATGCAGCGACTCATTTATGTAGCGTCAGATCATGCCGTACACCTATCTATAATTTTCGATTGCATTTCGATGCTAGGGACAAGTCCTTAATCAGTGGCATCGTCTTTTCTGCGAGACAACGAGAGCGGCGCCCCGTATATGGACCTACCCTACAGAATCATCAGAGACCACTGACCAATGCAATCGCTGAATGCTCAACTGAACATTGGACCGGCCAAATGCTCGGTGATACTCTCCAGTCTCAGCTGCTGTCTGCAGTGCAGTTGCGTTGAACCAGTCATCACCCTCTGAACGACGCCGTCGGCCGTGTATGGACAGCATCTTCAACGGCGGCTCTGTTGAACAAATCACAAGCAACCTGGGGCTTGCCACTCGGATGGAACCGTTGTTGGGAAGATCGCCTCGGGACGTTGCAATGCGAACACATCGGAATGCGGAGTTGGCCACGACAACCTGATCCCGTGTCCCTCCATGTGAGATGGCACCCTTGTTCCACTGCACCTCGAAGGCTAGGTCGAAGTGCTTCCGTTGTCAGCGGGTAGAACGGGGCAATAGAAATTGCGGACTCGACAGCTGGAAGTGATGACACTCCCCTCGCATTTGACCGAGTTGCAGGTAAAGTCACGGATAGGTGAGATGAATGTTGGTGCATGGCTTGAACTTCGAATTAATGACCACGCTGCTTTCCGGTTCACGGAGTCACACTGGGCTACATGATCACGAAAGTGTGTGGTAATAGGCAATTAATGACTGCTCCATTATAAGTGGACAAACTGGAGCGCCAGGCTGACAAACTCTTTGATGGGGGCTATGAAGCCTCAAGATTCGGCGGACCGTGGTTGTTTTTGGCGGAGTGAAATCGAGAGTGCGATATATTTTCGTGGGATATCCATAGCAAAATGGGTTTGCCTGTCGTCGATTCCTCCGTCATGTTCCATTAGGGTCGGCATTGTGTGATACAGATCGAAGACGGGGTGGGAAGTTGTAGGGACTGGAAAGGCGTGCTGCACATGATGAAATTAGCAAGCAATACTATTGCCATCGTCACAACCGTGGAGCCATTTTGGTACTGACGAGATCCTATTTGGCTGAGAATAGTGTACCCCCCCGGCCGACGAAGTCGTGCACCCATGCATGCACCCATGCATGCGTGAAGCAGCCACAAGCAACAGGCTGCGATGGGACAGCAGTATGCAGCCTGTGGGTGCTCCGATGGAACGACCAACTGGTGATGGATGGATGGGGTTTGTTCACGGCATATCACTACCTGTTCAATCCTGTACAGACCTTCTGCAGCGTGGCAGTTGACATGGCCATGTATATCACACAACCACTGACGAGAGAGGAGGCTAACAGCCGACTTTGTACACCGTAGTAGGAAAGGGAGGGTAGATCCGGCGCCTTGAGACGGATGTGTGATACACATGCAGGACCGGCGGCTGCGCATGCCTTTTAGTAACTGACGCTTCCACCGACTTGAGTACGCAATGTTATTCGCGGGCGAATCGATTTAGAACCGTTGTTAACCCGCAGCATGCATCTAAATGACGGCATCTGCAAGCTCATTTCTATACCCCAGGTATGGAGTAGATATGTAGGGTTTCGGCCACGAACCTCGGGAACGGAGTGGCGGGACGGGAGAAGCGAACAAACTACTACCGTTGGCAACTAAGTGGCTAGTCTTATTGCCTTGCTTGTTCTTGACTCTTTCCAACTCTGGCCAACAAGCCATCAACCGAGACGCCAAGGCACAATCAAACCATGGCTCGTGAGGATACGCTAGCAACGTTAGCATCCCGAACGAGGGGCGAGGCTTTCGACCTTCGCAACGGCCGAAATTTGGAACCCCACAGAAAACGGGGTCTGGCCAGGCCACAAAGGTGGATGGGCGAGCAGATGGATGAATGGGGGACGAGGGCCAAGACAACATGACGTCCTGGCGCAGGACAGCGTGCGAATGAGGCATCCAACAAAGGAGAACGCCTCCTTTTGTGTTTGAAGATTAGCAGCAGTACTCTGTATGTACCGTAATGGGGAGGGATATAATCCTCTCCCCATCAATCCAGACGGACGCCATTTGTAGATATCTGAATTCCGAGACACGGGCTAGAAAAACAACAGGGACCGATAAGACCTCTTGGCTCTGCTTCAACGATGGTCACTGCAGACTTATTAGCCACCCCAAGCCATGGGAACGGTTCGTCGCATGATACGCGCCGAGCTTGCTCTGGACTGATCCAAGAACAGCTCTCGTAGATCCGAAATCGCTGTTCATCTAGTAGTACAGTGGCTGTCGGCTCAATATTTTGCATGGATTCGCTACGGATGCTGCCTTGTAAGATGCTTAAGGTTCAGGATACTCTCGAGCTCTCGTACATCCATGGACCCGGATTTGACGTTCGTGCGAAGGATGCTAAAGTTTACTTACCAGGTGAACCATGTGAACCGACCAGCGGCTAGGGGGCTACTGGCAATGTTGCACTCGCTCCGAAGAGAGAGGGTAACACAGCAGATGAAGACGCCCAAGCATACCCCATATAGCTGCGCTATAAAACGAGTTTGGTTTACTGGTCACATCGAACAACTTGTTCCAATTAATTGAGAAGTTTCTCATGGCCGGCGTGTGGATACCGGAAACAATGGACCCTTTTGGGGCTTTGAGGTTGTTTAAAGTGTGCTGAGAATTTGGTGGAAGCGACTGTTCCAGGCGCCGCGCAGGAAAATTGAGCGGGGCCAAAACTCCGCGTTCCGTGCAATTTCAAAAGAACAGCGGAACACCATGGAGGTATTGATTTGACTCAGGGGCGTGTTCGCCATCAGGGCGCAAGTTGAAGATGGTGGCGTGTTGTGGTGAGTTCTAAAGACTGTCCTGACACGCGTTGCAGGTCCATGACTACGCCAGCACGAAACCATTCTAGCCCTGTCATGACTGTTGACGTCAACCAAGTCCCCCGAACCAGGATGTGGAATGAACGCAAGGACAGAGTGGCCGCGAGTGGTACGCCATAATGCACCCCATACGCAGTATCGGACACACTTAGCCGAGAAGGATAAACCCGCTGTCCAGATTGAAGGGGGTGAGCATGAAGCAAAATCTATGCTGTTTGGTAGGCGAGATGAACGAATAGCAAGCCACCGTACGGAGTACAGCATGATGAGTTCGGCTGATGACGGGCTGTGTCGATTGGTGTCTTGGATGGATTGAATAGCGAAGAGTCAAGACCTCCATCGTTGGACAGCTTGCTCGAGTCTAGATGTAGACGGCCTATGTCTGTATCAGTGGTGGATGGCGTATCGCCAAGAGCGAACTGGCATTGCCAACATGTAGTAGCCATACAGTGTGCCAATGTCCCGCAGCTCGTGGCAGCCAACTCTGGCCATGCGAGCCGCCGTCAGTCAGGTAATAGTCGACTATCAGCAGATTCTGTTGTCGCGACAGCCGCGGTGTGATCCTCACGGTCCGGAGTCTAGCGTGAAAAGGCATAGCATTGCGCCTTCAGGCGAACAGGCAGCCGGGTAGTGGCATCGGCCGGATTGGGGGGTCAGTCAATCTCGCGCATGGCGTAGGCTGAGTGATGTGTGTGTGTGTGTGAGCACGATGTGAGGGCCGAAGTATCGACCGATGTCTTTTTGGTGTTGGGCCATGGACATGAATGAACATTAGACATTGGGGGCAACAGAGCTCCTGCCCGGTTGCTCTGCTCCTGCCTTCGTTCTGCAGCCACCCTCTCGTCAACAGCTGGCTGACAGGCACCTGACGGACATTAATTGTCCTGGCGGGCTCTGGCGGGCCACCTGGCTGGACCTGGCTCAAACCTGGTTGGCTCGCCCGCTTCTCTTCCCGTCGACTCCCGCGCTCTCTCCTTTCCTGAAAATCCACAGGCTCCATTTCGCACTCCGAAATTTCTCCCCCCCGTCAAGTCATCACACACCCGCACCACGATCTCGTCTCGTCTCGCCCACCCACGTTGTCTCTGTCCGCCTCTCTTGGGCCTCTTTTCCCTCTCCTCCTCTAGATCCCTCCCCATCGCCCCCGTGAGGCCTATATGCTACTGACCGAGATAGCTCTCAGCCTTCTGTGAGATAGTCTCGTTCCTTATCTTCTCTTTTTTTCCCTACTCTCTTTTCGATACCCCTGTGTGTTTGCTCGCATATTTCCGCGCAGCAGTGGCGTTACATTTTTCTTCCATCTTGGATCCCGATCCTTTTGCGCTGCGCTCTGTCCCTGTACCAAACACTGTTGCTCGGGACTTTGCCTTCGATAACCACTACGAGGTACGTTAGACTGTTTCTACCGGTCATTATTGCGATGCGACAATGGGCACATTCGAATAGTCGCCGCCCTCTGGGCCTCGGGAAGCTGTCTTGACGCATCTTGCCATAGTTGCGCGGAACACCGGTTGGTGTGCGTGTGCAACTTCTGCGATGATGTCTTATCCATTCTCTCCCGCCAGTTGACCGGTCGATAATTTTGGTTCTGGAGGGAGCTCTCGTCTCTCTTCATGTTTCCACGCCCTCAACCAATCGACACCTGTCCTTGCCGAAACGATCTGCCTGCAGACTGACGTTTGGATTTTTTTTGACAGACAACGAAAGGCCTCTTTTGCATCAGCTTCTGGCTCGAACGCCCTCTTATCCTCTTGCAACCGCCATCCCATAGGCAACATGTCCTACTACGAAAACGCTCAGTGGCCCACCCCGAGCCAAAATAACTGGGAGCATCAGCAGGGGACGTCAACTCCTACTCGTGCCGGTACGACCGATCCAGCTTTATGACTATAACTTGTTGGTTGAGTACTCTAACACCGTCTCTATAGGTGCCAGTGGCCCGCAGCCTCAGGACGACTTTGCATTCTCCTACCAATTCGATGGTGCGTTCTCTTGCCAAGTTTTGTTACTACTTTTACTACTACGATGTTTTGTATCCCCTTAAGTGGGCCGCCTTATTGGCTTGCCCTGGCTTGCACCTTAATGAATCAACTGTTTCCCACTCCCCCAGCGCGTATTTGACTGATGAATAATTGGCTGACGCTGTCTCTAGAGGTTGACCGTGCCTTCGAGAATCTCCAAAAGTCCGGCAAAGGCTACGCCATGGGAGCCCGGCGTAAGCCTACTCCGAAAGCCTCACTGCGAAGTGGTGCCCCTATATTTACTGGTGAGGCGGCAAGAAAGGGATTCTCTGCATCAAAGTGCTTGCGCTGACACCCTGATTATATGCAGATGGCCGAGTTTCCCACGGTAGTGGACCTCGCTCGCACCCCATGAACAACACCTTCGAAGGGCCCCAGGGCCACAATCTTCACAATTTTTATGCCTCGCAGCGCCATCAACCATCTCGAGGCTCCAACGAGGCAGAGCAGGTCATGCAGGCTAAGAGACGGATGGCGGCTCAGCGGGAGCGCGAGCTGCGCAATTTACACACTGAGCAGCAGTATCAACGAAGTAGGCCACCCTCTGCAGTATAGCACTTTATGTCACGCAAGAGGACCCCCAAAGTAGAAAGTATATATGCAAGGAGTCGGGCGAGATCATCATGATTATTGCAATTCTGTTGTCCGCTTTTATCATGTTGACAAATCATTTTATGTTTGGGGCATGCATTTTCGGGTCTACATAAAACCGTCCTCAGCAACGGTGCTGGTCACATGGAGCATTGGCTAACTGCTTTTCTTCAACGTAGATGCGCTGACGGACGCGCCCCAGCACACCAACACCACTCCCGTCAATAACAACGCCAAACATATGTCGGAGGAAGAAACCCGCGAGCTTATTGCCCGTCAGCGAAGTGCTTTGTACGGCGAGGGCCCCTTTGCCGACAAGACGAGCTATGTTGATGAGACCGGTAACATTCGCCCTGGTGTCCCGGGCCAGAGCGGGCCATCCAGTATTCGGGGCCCTTCGCCCTTAGCCTTTGAAGCCATTGGCCGAGTTCCATCTGGAGCAGAGGTTGTTACTCCTGGCTCTGCTAGCGATCACAACGCGACCATTGCCGATCCAGGCCCCAGACCTCAAAGCACCAGCAGCCCTCACAACTCTGGACCGACTAATAGGGCATTCGACAACGCTGTGGGCTCCCAAAGCCGCACAAGCACCTCTAGCCCTACTGGCGGATCCCCGCCTCGCGACTTTGTACCTGGCTCCAAGCCTGGCCAAAGCGGCGCTACTGTTGCTCCCATTGGAACTCGCCCTTCTGGAACGCCATCGACCACAACTTCTGGCAAGCGGTCTACCACCCCTCTGGCCTCCTCCTCTGGTGGCTGGGGTCGTGGAAATGGGGTTTGGGGACAGTCCTCCGGCCTCGGAGCCCAAGCCAGCGTCTGGGGATAAATTCGGAGAAGCGGACAGGCGTCGTGGAAATACTTACAGGGGCGAATATTGAATTGTGAATTGTTGCATCAAAACAGGCGCAAGGTTTGCTGGTGTCGTCGGGCTTGGAATGGCAAAGATGGGTGAGATGTAGTGGCACAGAAAAACAGGAAGTCACTCGGGTTATTTTCGGCTGGTGTTTTTCATTTCTTTTTCGTTCTTCTCTGGCACGAATTTGTTCTTGTCTGCTACGGAGATGGCAGCTTACGGCATGACTGGGCGAAACGCGGGTGCACAAACGGATTGTTATATACCTAGGATTGGATTGGAGGGCACAGATGAAGCTCGCTTTACGACCGGACAGAGCATTTCTTCAACAGTTGTAATGCTTTTTTGGGGGGCTTGTTTTTCACAGGGGACGGCAGAATTTGCAACATTGTCACGTCACGGCGTATTGTCTTGGTCGCGGTGTTACATTGCATGCGGAGATTCGGTTCGATGCTGAGCGGTCAGACTTTCGATTGAATGCCTGCCTAGAGTACGGCGTCATCTTGGGGCAAGGAGCCATAGGGCTGGGAAAACAAGTTGGGAGCTGAGAAAGCAAGAACAAAAGCATTGATCAGCCCTAGCCTGCTGTGCGTGGCATGGCGTATTACAGTGTTGGGAAGGACAGCAATTTCGAGGTAAGGGACGTCGTCATTATTACTACAGAATGTCATTGGTAACTGCGCAACATGGATTCTGGGTTTTCATAACACACACATTGAAAAAAAAGGACAGCAAAACAAAAGGCAGGACGGTGTTCTATGGGGGATGCTGGATTTTCGTATTCGGAGGTTTCTTTATTTCCTTTTTTTTTTTTACCTCACCTCTCGGTTCTAGGGCGGCTTAGGAACGGGCATGGGATTCTTCTGTAGGGTTATGCCAGGTATACCTGCTCTCCCGTTGGTTTGTTACGGCTTTGGGCACGGGGTGTTTTTGATATTTCTTCCTTGTGAGTATATTAAAGTAGAGGATAAGTGTGAATAGTAATGAGGAGTGATGACTGGGCCTGGGAGTGTCTTACGATGTGGCTAGTGTGACTCTTGAGGGTCGAAATGTGACTTGGACAACACAGGGTGTGGTCATGACGGTATAATGCCAGAATTGAACCTGCTATGCCGATGCTAATGCCAATGCTTAAACTCCAAGAACAACGCCACATCCCCAATAATATCTTACAGCCGTTTGTCGCCTCCCCAGCCCGATGACCTGACAAGACTCGTGTAGACGTGCATCATGGGAAATGAGCAGTCCTCACAAGGCCAAAAGCTTAGCGCCCTCTTCCAAGTCCATCACGTCATCTGCCCTCATGGCCTTGCCTCCCCAAATGACGGTCCCCCTCCCGTCAATGGCAAAAGCGCCCGACTCCTGCCACTTGTTCCCCATAACGGTGGAAATGCCGTCGTCGTCGTCGACGTTGTCGTCCTCGCCGGGCCCGACGCCGCCACCCCCAGCACCACCAGCACCCGCGGCGCGCCGTCTCTCGGGGTGTTGTTGGTTTCTCGCGGGCTGCGCCGTCGTCGTCCCCTTGCGCTGCATCGCCTCGGCCACCTTGTCGCCCAGCCAGCCCTTCTCCTTCCACCCCTGCACCTGGGTCGTCGGGTTGAACAGGTGCCACACGTTGGCGACGCCGAGGCCCCACGCCGCGTAGATGGCGCGGTCTTCGTCAATGACGACCTGCACGTTCCACGCGCCGCCCAGGAGGTCGATCCATTTGCGGGTGGCTGGCTCCGAGGCGTGGCTGACGGCGACGCAGGTCACGGTCTGGCTGTGGCGGTTGGCCAGCGTCCGGAGGTTGATGAAGGTCTTTTGGGCGACTGCGTCGGCAGGGAGCGTTAGTTTTTTTTGGATGGACGGGGGGGCCAATTGGGACTCTGGGGACTTACATGCGCACCCTACGCAGCGTAGGAAGACGACCAGGACGCGTCTCCCGCGGCCGGTGGCCAGCTTGTCGTGCCTGTCGCGCGGCGCGGGCTCTCCTATGCGCGGGACGCGGGAGACTTGGATGGGCGGCGGGGGCGGCGAGAGCCACGGGTGCACGGTGAGGGGGAGGGACTTGTAGGACAGCCAGCTGGACCAGTTGCTGGACTCTTGGTCGTCGGCGGGTTGGTCTTTGCGCAGCTTGTTGGGTTCGCGGGGGGACGAGAAGTCGAGTGCGTTGGAGGGGATGCCGGCCTTTTTGAGGGCGATTTTGGTCGCGAGGCTGGAGAACATGACGCCCTGCTGGGGGGGGAGGGGATTGCTGGTGCGCGATGCGAGGTTGGTGAGGAATTTGTAGTTGGGAAGAGGGAGAGGAGAGGGAGAAGGGAATTGTGAGCAGTGGTGAGCTTCTTAAGACCTGATACGTGGTCTGTTACTCCATGTCGGCGGGCGGTGGTTTCATTGTCGTTCCCCAAGTTGGGCTAGGATCCTTCCCGCCCCCTGTATGTCGCATGGGGTGCATGCCGGCCCCTGTAGTCGACTGGAATGCGCCGTCTTTGGTGGGGTAGCCTGGGACATGGAAGCTGGACCGGACGTCATGATGGCAGGTGAGCATTGCTGATGGGCAAAAGAAGTCCGGTTGTTTGCCGGAGCGAAAGGGGGTAGTTGGTGAAATATGAGTGCTCTGATCATCGCCGTGGGGAGGCGAATTGAGCGGTCACAAAGCCGACAGACAATCGGGCTTTTAGACTTGGAGAAACAGTGGCTAGACTTAAAGTAGAAGCGCCCAGCCGATTGTTTTCTATTTTGGGCATGTGAAATCAGCACCGGGCTGATTGACCATTTGCCGTAGTTGACTGATATTGCACGCTACGTAAGACCTCTACACGCGAAGTTGATGTTGAAATGCAATATTGCCGGTCGAGACCTTGGAAGCTAGGCTGCCGGACTGTCTTGACAATGACAAATATTTGATGACATGGCTGCTTTCCTCTTCCCGTCTCTGCTGGCTCTAGGTTCCAACTTTTGATCATGGCATTGTCAGGTAAATTCCACATGGTTCCGCCTATTTGCGGGTGTTGTTTGAACCGATACAAAAAGTCTGGTTGAAATTCAACATGGATCGACATGTATGACACACACACTCAGACACACAAGTATACATATACCTTATATACTTAAGTACCTAGGTATGTATTTATATGCATGTACATGTATACATTGTTGCTCGACTACCCAGGCACCCCATCATATTGAATTGAATTGAAACATCTGCGCAACGTGCACGGCAGCAAATTTAAAGGACTCTTAGCTAGACAAATCTACGACAATGTCCCATAAGAATCGCATTTGACCATTTCGACCAAGATGGTTTATTCGGCCGCCATATCCCATCAGTGCAGCCGAGTGCATCTTGTCCTACTTAAGCGACAAGGTACTGGAACATGACCAGACCGGCCACCGCACCATGCACTTCAGTGTATCAACGCTCTCAAGATTGGAAATTGTAATTTCTAGAGCGGGAGCTGGGCATCTCTGGGGGCTATTTTCATCCTTGCTGCTGCTAGTGACCACGCAAGAGATTTAATTTGACGAGACGTCGATCCATGCATGCTGGCCGAGGGGAGCGACTTGACTACCAGTGTTTTTCAGACTCTATACGACAGCAGGTGCCGTTTCAATGACTTCTCGTCGTTGGGCGGGTAACAATTGTCGAACAATGGAAAATCCTCCATTTTGAGTATGCTTACAGTAATGCGGGTTATTTCTGGGCCATGCATCCCGCTGGGTTTTCTTTCGCAGTGCAAGGCTTGTGTTGTGGTGAAGTTGGAGCAGGGTGGGAGAGCACTAATGGCATGCGAGGGGGAATTAGGCTTGTGAGGTTGTGAATCTGTAGGAGTATTTCGTTTCATGTCGTTTGTGCTTGCTCACATGCGCGGTATATGCGCGGCTACCAAACTCATTGATGGCCTTCTGGGCGTGTTGGGGAGGTCGGTTATGGAAGTATTTCACTGACGCCGGAACAACTTTGAATGCGGCACGAACTCGGATCCTCGGGCAACGAAACACGCGATCACAAGTAATAATTGAGCCGCCATGAAGCCGAGCTGAGTAAACGCGGTGCAACTTCATCTGCGCGCTTACCTTTGCCCGTCATTCCACTGTGCAAGGCTGCCCTATCAACAGGCACAAGATGCCTTGTGCTGCACGTTTCTCACGGGACATGTTGGCGACACGCCTCGTACACGCGGAGTAAGCAAGCCCGTCATCTCATCCCGCCGACCATCCGGACCTACGCAAGACAAGACAGGGCACCGCGGCGGCAGCGAGACATGTGGAATAGTTTGGTAAAACCAAAGCACAAGGCGAGACAGCCGCGGGGAAATATGGTTGGTGATACTTCAAGATGGCTGCCAGTGTGAAGAGGCCAAGGGGCATGCTTCGACCGGTCATACGTGATGGATGGTCGGGTTCGATGAGGCAAAAGTGCGGAAGCGGCTGCATGACAGGATCAGGGGAGTTGAAGAATGGAACATGGCGCGGGGTTGGTGTGGCCATGCCGTCACGCTCTTGGAGGTTGCAGTTCTACCTTTATCCTCAAAACTTGGGAACAATAGACCAAGCTTGGCTCCCCGCTGGGACGAAGTCCGATTGCTGACATCTGGAGGTGGTGCTCGGCATCCATACCAAAATGAAGCAGGTGTCCTCAGGGTGATCAAGTCCCGGATGGACGGCTTAGACCGGCCGGTTTAAATTGGGGCATATTATACACTGCGCTGGTCCTGGTCCTCATCCTGGTCCGGCCAAATTGCGTACGTCCAAGGACAATCAGCTCAAGTTGATTGGAATTGACAATGGAATTGGGATCTTGACCAGTTCGGTTTGAAAGAAGAGTGAAATAGGTGACAGTAGGTCTGGGCTCGCGTAATGGAATACTGGTGCCATATCGTTCCGAACCAATTTGATACGCATTAACACGACAGTCGAGGGCTCCAACATGCCGGGCTGTCTGGTTATCCCTAGTCATGTGTGGCATAGGGGTGTTGGACGCATGAGCTTGCCCTGTTCTTGAGGAGAAAGCGAGTGTAGACGTGCTGCCTCAAAGAACCCAGAGGAGAGGAGTGTTGGACTTGTGCGCTTCGGAATGTCCGAATGAGATACTCGTATTTCGTATGGAAGAGCCTAGTCGTCAAGGGCAGGAGCCGAGAAGGATCGTGTTGCTGACGTTATGGATGGACGTGAAGGAAGCATGTTCAGGACTCGGGAGTCAGTAATCGATGCTTGGTATCGCCATCGGCGGATAGAACAACGGGCAACACTGCCACGAGCCAGGCCATTGCGGAGACAGGAGCCTTTTATTGGGGAGTAGGATGAGGGCATGACAAGATGTCGGTATCAGACCAGAAGACAGTTTTATTTCCGCAGCGAAAATGCAGACATGGAGGAGCTGTGGAGTTGGCGCATTACTCAGAGGCTCCAGATGCCATTGTATGCCCATGTCTGTTTGCCCCACTCGGCAGCTATTCAGGGCGCTTGCATGAATGGCTGTGGACACAGCCAACTTTGGAAGACGCCAGCCTGGCCTGGTCTTTGTCGGCAGCTTTGGCTCCGGCTGTCGACCTTGATGTTTCTCGTACGATTTAAATTGGTCTAAAAGGACGGCGTGCTGGTGCTTTAATGATGCTGGTTATCAACTGCCTGACTGGGGACGTGGACCTACAATAATAGATCGGGCCCACGACCTGAAGTAGGCAGGCGGTTTTTTGGCCACATGTGCACATGTGCGTGGCCCATCAACCGGGTCGTAAGGCGCTTAGGTTTCATTGCTAACCGACGTGGAAATACTCCATACTCTCTTTTTCTCCGCGCAGCTCAGTTCATGCCCTTCTACGGAGTAGTCGCGTTGGATTAGAGTTTTGGCGGCGGCAACACTGGCCAGGGACAAACGGGTTCTCGCTCTAAAGCCAAGCTGCTGCTATTGTATGTGCGTGCTTGTATACTTTCAATGTTACCTTATGTAAGTAAGTGCAGTAGAGTCTATTTTGTCGCCCCCAAGGTCCCATCTCCACTATGAACCTTGTCATGTGCTTGAGCACACACAGTTATCATAAAGTATGTATTCTATCTACTCCGTACTGCGTCACCTCGAGCGCAAATGTACATAGTCTCAACTACTCCCCGACATGTCCGTGGGTTACCAAGTCGCGTCACCTGAAAATGGCAATGGCGGATCGAGATAGTATCCGTGCTGACATCTGAACTTGATGGCCAAGGCTCGGTTTATCGCAGTCATCAAAATGGCGGGGCGCGCCCAAGTTTGAAATGGCGCAAACCCACAATCCAAGATTCACGGCACATGCAGACATGATGCGTAGCGTTCATGCCACTGCGAGTCGACGTGATGGTGCAGAGTACCTGCTCCGTCCCTACATGAGCATGAACAAATCTGGCCCGCCGTGGCAAGTTGCTGGTTGGACGCCTCAGCTGTTCCGACCCCACAAACCGGGAACCCAAGCGGCATGCAGATGGAGATGGAGATGGAGGACGGAGGATGAGTGATGGATGAGTGATGGATGATGGAAGCTCCATGCGAGCATTGCACTGGCAACTGGGCTGTCGATGGGGTTCTTGGGTAGCATCAATCGATGGAGTCCGAGGCCTACAGATAACTCGGAAGTTGGATACTCCAAGGCGCCAACAACTACATCGTCATTGCGTTGCACATTCTCCTCCGGTGGCTCTGTGGTGTGACGCGACAGAGCGGATCAGATTCAATGGCGCACTAGGGCGCGCGTTTTCCTCAGGGACTACTAGTAGTACTAGTACTCCGTACTCCGTAGTAGACCCAGAGCCGGAGCTGAAACCAATCTGGTCTGTCCAGGATGGCAGCAGATTGTACATTTTTCTGCCCACTGAATACCTCAATGCTTGAACAGGATAATAGCAGATTTGCGTGGCGTCTGTTGAGCCTTGACGGCACAGACGCGCCCATGTCGCAAGGCAGGTGCATTACATGTGCTGCGTACCAGCTCAGGCACCCGGGCAGGCATGCAGCATGGAGGGGGATGCCGTCGGTACTCGGCGTCACTGGCAAAACACACGATGGTCGAGGTACCGAGCCTCGTCGAACAATGCCCACACACACAATTACGCTCCCTCGTTCAACAATGCTGTCTGGTGCCCCGATGAGGCGCCTTGGCTCAGGTGGCCGCTGAGTGGTTGCCCTGAGCCCACTAAACTTTGGCAACGTGAGGTCGACATCTGGACTGGCCCATTGCCATGCACGCCCCGTC